GAAGTAAGCAAACGCGAAAATGGTAAAAATGTTGTGCCATATTCGGGCCATGGTTGCGCAAGAAAATGTATTTTATGGCTCCCTAGTTACTTGGAAACAAGTTCATCAAGGTGATCCTTGCGTGAACTTTAATATGGCCTTTCTCCTTGCTTCATCATGCTGGCACCCACATATTGTTAACTGTAGATGGTCTGGCCGATAATTTCCTCAAAGAGCCATGAACTTGAAGTGGTACGTGTAGACTTGCACGTAGAATCATTCCCGTGCGAGTATTGGAATGCTATCTGTCCGATAATTTCGCTTGAAGAATTCTATCGAGGTTGTACCGACAGAGAAAATATTCTTCTGTAATATATAATTTCATTCTTTACAATAGTTATGCAATAATTACCGATCCTAATTTAAATTCCACCATGTTCCTTTTACATAAATTAATATAGCCGAGAGAAAGAATATCAGGAGGAGAATGAGTATCAGGAGAAGAATGAATTGCAAATGAAATTCTCGCGACTAATTTATCGAATTTAATAAATATAAATTTGAATTTTTATTATATTATATAAATTTATCGCTATGGAGAATGAGGAAATCAAAGGTATTGCGGAGCTTCTGGTATATAATTTTCTTTGAAAAAAATTAATGAATGAACATTAATAATTTATGAAAAGTACTTGCTACTTCTAAAAATAAATTTACAAATCGTATTAGAAAAAAAAAAAGAGCGACCAAAAAAAAAACAAAATGCCATTTCACACAAGTCTCATCTCAAACGGCAAAAAGTTCGAAACATCGGTTCCACTGGCGCAAACCGAGGGGTCCATAGTTATAAACGAAATAAAACGAGAGTTAATGAAATTTCATTGACGCCGGTACAAAAGCGGCGCGTGATTCACCGTGAACACCCCTCGTTCCCCATAAACGTGGCTTTTTTCCCCTCTCCGAGCGATATTATAATGGCCGGCCATAAAGGGTTGGGAAATGGCTACCGTTCGACTCGAAAGGGAACTCGCCGGAACGAAACGTACGAGCCGGTACGTGTTTGCGTGTGCTCGAGCGGCGACAACACATTCGTATACGAGGCTTGATGCATTAACCGGTGTCCTTGAGACGGGAGGCCGCCACCATCACCACCAGAACCATCGCCTCTGTTCTGCAACCGGCGCTGCCTTGAGGCTCAGAGATCGTAGCCTTGTCCGTGTACGAATCGGCGTAAGTATCATTTGCCTCGGCGGAAGCCTCTCTCTTCGCCCGATTGTCCATCTCCTTCGTCGTCTCTTTTATCAACGCTTGTCGAGGATTCGAATCCTCGTCCCTCGAGGCCTCCACGCGGTCAAACAAACCGAGAGAGTTTATCTGTAACTAAGTGTAATGTTGCTTTAATTAATGTGACTGCCTCCGTGGTAGGTGGTCTAGGGCATATCGGTAAGGAAGATTGCTTACCGATTGGGAATCGTGAGCGTGAAACGTTATAGGGAGTTTGAGAAGGTTCGATGCGTGGAGAGTCGGATCTTGTTTGGTTTAGGTATTTGCGCGTGAGGGTGTGATGGAAGATGGTTGGGAATTTGTCGTGGAATTTTTTATCCTCTCTTTGGATATTTGTTAGATATATTGGTTAATTGAAGTATAGGTACGATAAATTATATATTAAACAATGCTAAATGTCAGTTTATAAAAGTAGTATAACTAATAATATATTAATAAAAAAAAAAAAAACTATCACACTTCACACGAGAATTAATAAATATTTAATCTGTCCAATGTGTACAAACAATATCTCCAATTACAAAAACAGTAAAATTATCAATCGCCAACTATTTATATCAAGTATTTCAACTGTAATCACTACAATTGCACGAAACATTTCCCGGGATACGTACGATCCAATGCACGATCAAACCAGTTACAAACCCAATGCTCGCGACTACACAACTCACAATCAGAAGACTACACGTTTATCACGTAACGCGATATCTTTCGCAAAATTACATTCTATCTAAACGTGTTGCCCTCGAACCGATCCATACACGTACAAGCGTGTCGCGCGCGCGATATCTTCCCCACGGTAAACGAAGAGCACGAAGCACGTGGAGGCGGACAGGATCCTCTTCCCTTTTCCTTTCCTCGTTCCACGTACGGGAAATAGGCAACAAAGGATCGAGCTGAAAAGGCGGCGGAACGAGCGCGTAGGCACCGGTCCGCTCCTTATACGAGTGACAGAGGCGCGTGCACGCCGGCTAGGGCATTATTATGCGGATGATTACCGTCGAGGCTGAGAGAGAGAGAGAGAGAGAGAGAGAGAGAGAGAGAGAGAGAGAGAGAGAGAGAGAGAATCGGCTCGCCTTCTCCACACGACTTATTTTCCTGTAGGGTGAAAAGAAAAGTGATAACCATCGCCGACCCGTGAATCACACTTGTACGTGATGCAAGCCCCCCCCCCCCCTTCTCTTCTCTATTTCTCTCTCTTATTTTGGTCACTTTCTTTGTCGTCCTCTTAACGGCTGCATCTAAACGTTATTAAGATGTTTGCTCTGGGCGCGGCGGAAGTCGGCCTCGTAGCCGGAAAGAAGCTGGCCGCGCGGTAAAAAAAGAAAAAAAGAATAGCTAGGAGAAAGTGTGCCGTGTAGCGCTTAGGTGTGCGCGCGAACGTGCTCGAAGCGGAACGGATGTAAAGCTCGTTCGTTTGCTGAAATTCGAGACCGTGTTTCTGGATATTGTAGGAAACGATAAGTGTTACTTGGCACGGAGTTAGAGGCATGTACCCTCGTTGGTGGAAAGCGTTAATGTATCTTATCACGGACATCCGCGATCAGGTTTTGGTCGCTCTCTTGTGCGTGTTTCGCTGTTTTTAGAATTTATTTTTGATAGTTGGATGGCTTACGAGAGGATTTCTTCTTCGTTCTCGAGTTACTGTTTTAGATCTCTAGAGATATCCACTTCTGCCGTTTCTTTTTTTAAAAAAGTGCACTTGGAGAGAGACTCCAAGTATAACGTTGTGATGATACGAAATTTTATTGAACGTAAAAAAAAGGTTTGGAATTTGTTGTTGAAAAAAATTTTGGTTCTCCGGTAACGGAAACAATTGATCGCGTTAGATGATCTGTACAAGAAGATAATTGTGTAATTGCCGTAATTATTATTTGTAAATATATTTTTCGATCTTTAAAACTGCGCTTCGAACATAATATAAGAAACAAAAAAAGAAAGAGGAGAAAATTTAAACTCATTTTTTCCCCACAAAAATTAAATGTTTTCAAATGATGAAAGAAACGTCAACGTTAATAACTTAATAATCGTAATAATTAACTATTGACGTCAAAAGAATTACTAATCCGTCTATCGCAAGCAGCAAAGAATAAGTGTACGTAACAAGTACGTACAATAAACGTAACGAAACATCTGTCTCGAGTAACCCGGCTACTTAAACCATTAACAATAATAATAATAATTCTCTCCGCTTAAACTCGATATTCAAAGGCCCGTGTTGTCAGCATCGTTCCCGATATATTCAATCCCTCCCTCCCCCTCCCCTCTCCTCCACAATTGTCCGGACATAGAAAGCGGCCCTTTATTATTTCATTAAAACCCGTGACGCCAGAAAAGGCGCGTTGCCACTTTTAACAACGCACATCGCATGAGCGCACGTGCTGAAAATAAACCGAGCCCTTAAGTGGAACAATAGATTCCTTGCACCTGAGGCAAAGGGGCGATAGAGCAAATCGCCTCTGGTGGATACGATAATGGCGAGTTTATCCGAAAGATCGGGCGGGCAAGATGGCGACGTCCACGTCTCGCCCGTAAATCCCGTGGAATCGATCGGATATCTCGATCGGGAATGGCCTTCTTCGCCGCGTGATTCGTCGGGGAAGAGGTCATTTTGCTCCTTTACGTCCGTCTGCTACATTGTGACCCAACCACGGACCAAGATTCTTTCCTCATCGTAGGGAGGGAGGGAGGGAGGGAGGAAGGATCGATTCCTAGCAAGGAGATGCTACTTTTATCGTTGTTTGATCTCTTTGAGATTTTGAGACGATGATATTTTTCTTTCAAGTACGTAGTGATGTAATTTTAAGAATGAAACGTGCAATGATCAATCTGGATATTTTTTTTCAAAATTGTAAAACGTGAATTTTATTACATCCTTTTTTTTATTGTTGTTATTGTTGTTGTCGATCGATCAAATAATTATAAAAATATTATAAAAATAGGTGAATTTGAATAGCTATATTTTTTTTTCGACTTAATATCGAAAAAATTGCAAAACGCGAATCGTATAAAGCATTCAAAGTGGAAATTCGGAATGATTATTTAATAGAGATGGATATCGATCGAGATTAACATTTCGAATTTATTTGAATAGAATATAGTGTTTTTTTTCGAATGGAAAAGGTATTAAAATATGCAGGATTGACAAGAATCACGATCGATCTTTAAATATATGCAGTTTATAAAGCGATTCTTAATTTCAATGTGTATTATTGTAAATTCTCTTTCTCTATATTATATTTCTCTCTCTGTGTACGAGAAATTTCACGATTGTTTTTCGTCTTTCACGTCGATTTTAATTCCATTCTATAATCAATAACAGGACGAAATGTCGTTCCACTTATTGTGTACAATTCGAAAATTTATGTCTCGCGATCTCTAATCGTACGCCAGTCTTATTTCGTACGGCGTGTCGAACGTATCCAAATATTCTATTGTAGCTATTTCATTTCCTTTTTCTATTTTATTAAAAAATAACTCGATTCTTTTTCTTAAAGTTTAATACTCGATACTTCAAATTGTTCTCAAGTTTATTAATGCGATTCGTAATTGTTTAAAATAAAAAACGATTGATGTACAAAAAAAAATTGTTAAAAAGAAAAATGAACTTTGAAATTTTTATTTTTTACTGAAATAAATTGCTTGATTTTTTTTTTCTTTTTTCGTGTAAGAATGATAAAGTAAATTGTGTCATTTAAAAATATTTTTAACAAATTATTCTGATTCGCCTGTTTCAGGTAAAACACGTTTCGTCACGTGAATGTTACGATTCTTCGTATTTGCATGTATTCGTGAGTACAAAAAGTGATTATTTTATTTAATTTTTATAATTTTATAATTCTTATATCCAATTATTTTACTTTATTTCTTTCTATTTTTCTTTTTTTTTTTTCACCCAAAATTATCATCAATATTCACAATCCATATTAAGAATCCATTATCGTGAAAAATTGGACAATTTTTATTTTTCGTACAAAGCGAATTCAAGAGAAAAAAAAACTAGAAAAAATTCGCAATTTGCAAAAGCATTATTTACAAAATCCGTAGACATTCTTTCTTAAATTGTGAAGAAAGATTGAGTCGTATAACTTATTGGCTTAATAATGGGAGAAGGAAGCCAATATACTCTCTGTCGAGTGAATCATCGGCGATGGGCAAAGGTGGGATCCGTTTCCTCAATTGGGATGCATTATGCTTCCAGGGAAATTACGACACACTGTAAAGGCTATTAAATGCCGCAATCAGCTGGTCGCACTGGGAAAAATCGAGCCATTGTGTAATCTAGCATCTAGCTAGATCAATGAATTTTCTCACAAAATCTCGAGAAATAATTTCCAGGCCGCGAAGATTACCATCCGACCACGAATTTTTAAGCAAAATCAAATTTTTTATTTAAACTTGATTAAGAAAATTAAAATATTGCATATATATATATAAATTTTTGTACATTTCAAATTTCGTTTTTCAAAAAAAAACCTATTATTCTTCTAAATGATTTAAATTATTTAAATTAAATATTTGAAACAATATCGAAACGTTGATAGTTTCACAAAATGGATGCAATATTTATTTATAAAACGATCGAAAAGGTTGATCCACGATTTTATTTGAATGAATTTATTCAATAAGCAAAAAAGAAGTATTGTTCCTTTCACCCCAATCTTTTTTTTTTTTTTTTTAATTTATATTAAAAAATTGAAGGAATAACTGAACTACGGAACAATTTTCTAATGTTTGTTTCATGGGTCGTCGTAGAAGAAGTTACGGTATAGAAATGCAATGTAAAAATATAACCGGTATAAATCATGACTTCCGAGTTTTCACGATGCCGCTCTTCCTCTTCGTCGAGACGCGGATCGAATGCAAAATCACTCACCATTTATTGTCCATATCTTTCATTGTAGCGGGTACGATATGTCGTCTCTTCACGCATGTGTTGTTCGTTCAAAATCTATTTATGTAAGTCCAACGACTGTTCGCGACGAGAACGGTGCACAATTGCCTCGAAGCTCGATATCGCGAGGGAGTCAGTTCAAACAAGTTTTTTTTTTTTCTCTCTCTCTCTCTCCTTTTCGATGACGAGTAATTGGCAATTAATTCGAGACTCCTACGTGTCTCGATTAATTGGTTAAATGTTGGAAAATTCAATGATTGGTACTTTGAAAATTTTAAATTCTTTTTTTAATATATCTGTGGATAGTAATTACGTTCCTCGTTATTAGTTATCATTCGATTACTTCGATTCCTTTTGTATTTTTTGTAATTAAAAATTGCAGCGACTTACCATCGATTAACTCAAATTTGTTATCCATAAAATATTTTTCTCCTCACTTTTCGAAAAATTATTTTTTTTCTTTATTATCATTCAATTACGTAGGATTCTTAAATAAATAAAGCTAAAATATATATCTTCTTACTTCCTCCTTCTTCTCCCAAGAAAAAGAGAAAAATTTTCAATTATTTTCTCGTTATCAATTAGATCGATTTCCACGGTATACGTTCCAAGGATATTTCGTAATTAACGATCGAACGGAGCGAAACAAACGTGTCACGAATTTGCAGGGAAAAAAATTGGCAAAGGAGAGTATTCTGTTGTGCAGAGATCGCAGAAAATCGTTGGTTTCGCAAGGCACACACAGGCTAAGCGAGCTACTCTCATTTCCAGGCGCGCGCGTGACAGGTTAGAGTCTACTCTCGAGTAGACGATGTCCGTCCGTCTCTCCTCTCCGGCCCACCCCGGTTTTCCTTTTCCAGCGATCCGACACTGAACTCGATCGTTGATCTCATTCAGGGTCGAGTGTTCCTCGAGTTCCTCGAGTTACTTAGTACGTTCCGTTTTCTTGTTGCCGCCCATCTCGTTTCTCTCTCACTGCCCGTCTAGGCCGATTCCCATTGTGCGACCAGATACTTCTTCGTCGTATCCCCATTTATGACGCGAAATTGCATCATTGGTCGATTGCAATCTCGATGGATTCCATTCTGCGATATCCTGGAAATATTTTCAGAGATTTTTTTATTTTTTTTTTTTTTAGAATTTTACGTCGATAGTTTGAATAATAAGTACTGAAAATTCATTACATATACGCAAATTTTTATTATCAGAATTTTTGAGTTAGATAAATTTTTTTTAATGTATGGAGACTTTTGTGATTGAGTGTAAACATGTTTTTATTTAGAAGGAATGATTTGTAATAGTATATAGTATAATTTTCTTATAAATCGTGGTAAGATTATATTGATTCTTGTGTCTTTTTGTTTTTTTATATTCTTTTCATTTCAATTTTTATATCAAATTTAGCTTATCAGTAATTTTGATTAACTTATCAGTGGGATAAATTTGATCTTAAATTTTTATCCTGTTCGATTTCTCATTTATTCGTTTTCTTATCTGTGAATTTGTTAAAAAATAGTAGAAAGAATGTCCGATCTCACAGCCAGCCTTCCTTCTCTCCCTTTAAAATAAAAAAGTATTAAATTATTCTAAAAATAATATAGATAGAACATAGGTTCATGTAGACGAGAATACAATAGGTGAGTTAATATTACAAACTTTCGTTTATTTCAAATGGTTCACATCGTTATTGATATTACAACCCCTTTCGATTAGGTTACAGACAATCTAATGGTCAGAATTATTTTACAAGGTACACAGACGCGTGTAATGAAACAGGAAGTGGAGGAAGATAAAAGAAATAAGAGCATAAAGAGTGAAAGTAAATATTCCACCGTTGAAAGTACATAAACCTGATCTTTTAGAGCTCGTAAAACTGTAAAGTCTTTACGCAAAAAGTTTTGGAAACAATTTTCGTGTATATCGTGTTATATGGGATACTATATTTAGTAAATCGATTATTTCCAGAAGGGATTAACATTTTTCACCTATTCATGTATCATTTTAACTTAAGATTCCGGAACATTTGATGTACATTTTAATATGCAGAAGATATTTTTTTCTCTCAAATACATTTTTCTTTGATTATATGCTTCGAAAAAATATTGTTATAATAGAATGCAAATAAATTTTTTCCTTTTTTTTTTGGATATCTTATGAAATATCTATGAAAAATAATCGATTAACATATATTACAATGAAAGTCAAAGGAAATGTCATCGAAGCGGAAGTTGCACATCAGTTGCCCACGAGTTGCTGCCTTTTCGAACCTTATGAGATTCACAATGGAACAGTGGTTCTCAATCATTTCCTTATCAATAATTATCAATTTTAAATTATTATTAAGGAAACTTGTTTTTTTAAAATTGTTTTCAGCATTTCAATCCAATTATTATTAATATTTAAATCCTATTGTGAATCTTATCTTCAATAATTTTCAATTCTTGATTAACGTATTCCTCTAATTTCAATTGTGTAATATCGATGCGTAATAAATATTTGTAAATCACAGTTATCTCAATCGATTTATATACATATTCGGTTGAGTTGCACGATTCGATAAAGATTTTATTATCACTTTAATTCTTTCTCCTTATCGTCTCTTATAAGATAGATAAGATATACGAAAGTAACTCATCAAAAATAAATTTTTTCCATTTCATTTTTCAAATTTTTATCAGACGACAATCCAATGTATTTCAAAATCATCACTTTCCATATCGTATAAAATTTTGCGAAAATTTCATAATATTTTCGTCCATCATCTAAATCACATTTCAACTTCAAAAAAAAAAGAACCCCAACGAATCTGTTAATTTTAACGCACCGTGAAATTTGTTCTGAAAACGTGCAATGAATATGCAGAACTTGCGTGATAAAAATCTCTTTCTCGAAAAAAAGTACAGTTTTTTTTATATAAAACAAAGAATAAAATAAGAATAATTACATACAAGAATATCCTCGTTCTCAATTACATCGCAATCTTTTGAAATCAAATTTATTAAAAAAAAAAAGAAAAATTTCCAACGCTACCGGGATCGGATTACTTTATTGTTTCATCGAGAATCATCAAGATCTCGTTAACTCTTCGCCAAATGAAATTCACCGTTAGATCTGTTTCCAGATTTCGACTCGTTATTCTAGATAAGAGAAAAATAAAAAATAAAAAATAAAAAAACTTTGGTAACAACGAAAGCTACCTCTTGGTATTGTTCATTCCGTGTAATAATAATAATAATGCTTGATACGATCTAAGAATTACTGAAACTCTCTTATTGAACAGCTCTTGTTGTATAATTCACGATGTATCAACAATCCTTAATCGCAATCTGAATTATTAATTAACAAAACGATTGGCTCCTTGGCAACGGTTTAAACGCGTTTCACGTGGAGGATATTTTATTTTAGGTTGCGCAAACATTTATTATTATTAACGACGAGGGGTAAAGATCCATATTCGTTCGAGTATTTCGTTTTATAATGGATCTATCGTTTGTTTGAACTCGGTCGAACACAAACAGTTCGGTAACTCGTCCAACCCGTTCAACAGTTTACCGAAGAAATATCGGTTCGTTTATAAAACTTTGCGAAATTGGTTGGTTGAACCAAGAATTTTGATGAACACTTTACCATTAATTTTTGTGATTGAGTTATAAATTAAAGTTATATTTGTTTCGAGTTGTAATTTATAAATTTATGAGAGAAGTGAATTTTTCTTTTCTTTTTTTTTGTGAAAAATAATTATCTCATTGATCGAAAAACAATCTAAATTAATTGACGCAGGAATAATCATTTTATTAAGATCATTATCGTTTATTTTTACTCGTTTATTATTACTCCGCTCTATTATAATTATCATTATTATTATTATTATTATTACTATTACCATGATTGAATTTGAAAGTTAATTGCAGGAAGATACAATTGGAATCAGAGGGGGAATGGGAAGGGGAGGGGAGGGAGAGAAAGATTTCGTGAAAGTACGAAAAATTGGATTGCGAAAAGAAGGTTATAGATTTAGCAATATGATTACATGGTAGAGTAAAACCGATTTTCCAGTAGTAATTTATCTATCCCCTCCCCCCTCCCGATACGTGAAACAATCGTACACGGGTATCGTATTTAATGAATAGTCAGCGTGTCTATTAAACGGTAATTACCGGGTGGTAATACAATAATAGTTTAATCACAACCCTTCAATGTTTGGTTAAAATAGGGTTTCACCTCACGGTGAAAGTTTGCCGACCTTTTCCTCTATCGTCCGTCGGCCGAACGTGTAATCCATACAATTATTTCCAAAGGATTTTTTCCGTAATTTAATTCCTTAATGATCGGTTACACGGGAAATGCTCTTATTAATTTAAACGGAATGAAAATATTTCTTTTTCGTTTCCTTTTTTATTTGAAAAATCGTCGGACAGTTTCTTTCTCCTTTCGTGTCCACCGAAATCGCACGCAATTCATTACGTAGAATTTTTGAGAATTTTAGTTAGGAAATTGTACGCCAAGTAATTTATTTTGTTAACCCTCTGTGATCTCCCCTTTTTTTTTTTTTTTTTTTTTTTGAAGAAATATTTCATTTCATCGCTGGAAAAAAGACGACATAAATTGATAAATATGATAGATTACAGTATATCGATGATCGAATGTTTGTTGTAAAGATATAAGTTTTTTAAGTTTATAATTACGTCAAAATTAACTCTTTAAAGTCAAATTCTTTTTTATCGTTACAATGGCAGAGATATACCTTTGATATTATTTTTGTGACGAAGCAATAAACTTCTCTCACAAATTTATATAAATTACAACTCGAAACAAATATAATTTATAACTCAATGGTCACATGGTAAAGCGTTCATCAAAATTCTTGGTTCGACCAACCAATTTGAGACTTGATACCATTAACTTAACACTTAATTTTTTTTTACGGGAGGGGAAGAAACTAAATTTGTCATCGTTGAGTTACAACGAATCTAAGATACAACACAATCTAAGATACAACGTTTCCATTGAATATATATATATATATATATATATATATATCTCGATTTATAGCGAAACGGACGAGATACGGTTTCCAGTTTTACGGTTTGAGAAGCGCTGAAAAATAACGTGTCCAAGTTACGCGCGATGAGAATAAAGCGACGAGAATCAGGTTATTGGGGCCTAATATCCGTCCGTTTCTCTCGCACGGGTCGAGTCAAACCGTTTTCGAATGAAAGAAAAGAAAAAGAAAAAATATTCGCATTCGGTTTACGAATTCATCATAGGCACGAATGATGAATCGAGAGTGGAAATTGCGCGTCTTGATATCCGTGATCTTGTTATCGATCCTTTTTCGAACGTGATTAAAATTGATGAGTGCTTGTATAGAGTCGATTAGAACGGTGAATCATCCGGAATAGAGATAAGATTGGATGATGCGAAATGAAGGGAAGCTGATTTCGAATCTCGTACTCTTTTATCGCGATGCTTGTACTTTGTATTTGAAATACAGAAAAAAATTACATCCGATAACATTTCCATTTATCCATCGTTGAGGATAGATAGTCGAGGAATATAGTTGATTGCGAGAGAAGATAAACGTTCGTTGGATCCGATTAATATTATACCGTTTCTAAGAGATTATTATTATTTATTAATCATTTATTAAATTAGATTTAGCAGAGGATGTAATAAATAAATCAATTCTTTCTACATTCTTCTTTTATCCGATTTATCGGATCTATGCATAACGATGCATCGAATTCCTTTNAAACGTTCGTTGGATCCGATTAATATTATACCGTTTCTAAGAGATTATTATTATTTATTAATAATCAAATTTTATTAAATTAGATTTAGCAGAGGATGTAATAAATAAATCAATTCTTTCTACATTCTTCTTTTATCCGATTTATCGGATCTATGCATAATATGTATGCATCGAATTCCTTTAGGAATAAGACAAATACCTTTTCTGTCTTAATAACAACATATAAAAATAAATATATATATATATTTCTTTAAAATCAAGTATATGATGGATTGGAATTGAAGGTACCAATTGTACAAAATAATAATAAATCTATAAAAAATTTCCATTTTTACGAACGACGTATCACCATTCGTGACAACTAAAACAAATCTTTTTTTCGCGTTATCATTATTATTATTATTATGCACTCTCTAAAAGAACGAATGCGAGATGCGTGCCGTGTATTTCCGCCAATGTTCGAGGCATCGTGATGCACGACACGACTAGTCGAGCGGTAAAGCAGGAAAGTAAGAGAAAACGGGGCTTTTGTGTCAAAGTGCCCCTTGTAATAATTTCTGCGTTGTGGGGGAACAAACACGGAGAAGAAACGCGTAGTGATCGTGCACGAGGCGATCGTGCCGCGTCTCCTTTTCGGTAGCTATGGAAAACTCGCGAGGAGGACTCGTGTTTTTTACTCTTTCACGAGAAGTATGCCTCGATTAACGACCAATTCAAAATGTCATTCAATTGTGAAGGCTCTGAAGGAAGTTAGTTGATTGAAGAATCGATTGTTTGCATTGTTGAATTGGAAAGTTGGCGGTTGGCGACTTTTGATCGATTTTCCTTTATTTTTTTTTTTTTATTTTATTTTTTATATTTATTTTTTCTATCGTTTGCGATGCTACGATACTAATAGGTTATATTTTTCAGTGTCACTGAAAGAAAAGAAAAATCGTTGTTATGAAAATACGGTACAATTAAAAGGATATTGTAGAAATCGTGGAAGCGTAGCGTTGATTGAAGGATATAAATGCTATGCATTGTTGCCGTTTCATCAGGATTTAATTAAAGGAAAGAAAAAATTATTGAAAAATAATAGATTGAAATCGAAGGAACAAAAAAAAAAAAAAAAAAAGAAGGAAGAAATAAACTTGTAAAAATCTCGCGGCCTCTCTTATTGTCTAATTGATTAATTGATCGCCTGCTTTCCATGCCGGTGAAAAGTAGGGAAAAAAAAAAAGAAAAAATGCATTTAGAGAGTGCGTGAATTAGAACAATATCAATTAATTCTTCGATGATAGCCTCGGTGAAATTTCCGTTCCCTTTTTTAAATATAATATAATTTCTAACTCACGCCAATGCGAAATAGAGTAAAATTATGGAACGTTAAAAAATGTGAAAAATTCAAAATATTCGAAATTTCGCTCTTCCAACTTCGCGTCACATTTTCACATCATACGAATTGCGTTGAAATAGCATTGAAACGCTCGACAGCGAGCCACCGCATATTTCCTTCTCTATTTCTTCTCTTCGTTAAATATCGCAACTTACGAATAACTTAACGCGATATCCTCGTCATACAAAATTCTCAGAATCTTCTCATCGATTCTCAAATTCATCTTCCGCCTTTTTTCTTTTTTTTTTTTTTCTTTTCCTTTTCTTCAAAGCCATCGATGGATCCATTCGATGATCTATCAAAGATATAGAAATTGTACTTTCGAATAAATAACTCGGACCACCGGGACGATTTCACGTGTCGCGTTGCGGAGGCACGTAAGAGATGACAAGCGGGTAAAACAGAGGAAACACAGCGGCAACACCTGTCACGCGTCTCGAAGAGCTCTTGCACACGATTAACTTCGATCCCTGTGCGCTGTGTTATTTTCGCTGAAGGAAAGTCGACGTTTCTCCTCGTTTCGTTATTTCAGATTCGAACCCCTCTCGTGTCTTCGTCATAGTTGACGCGATAATCTTAACGACACCTTCCTTGGTTAATTTTCACCATTTATATGTTATAAACGATGTTTTATCAAAGTGAATCTTGATCTTGATTCCTTCAACGATGCATCCTTGGTAAGAGTACAGGTTGAGAAAAGTTAGAAACAATGTGGATTCGTGAGGTTTGGTAATTTGTGCAACGAGATGAGAGCATGCAATGAATCGATTTAATAGATAGATTCGTTAAATTTAATTCTCTCACGATAGAACGTGAAAACTTCCATTTACTACTTTTTTTCCAACGATCTATACAAATACATTTCTCCAAGATATTTAACCCTTTGCTTTCCAACGGTCACCACTTGAGTTAATAAACTTGAGTTAGTTTAGTCCAGTGATTCTCCGGTATCACTGGGATTGTTGCGGCAATTTGATAACGGCGACAATATTTATTTATGTTTGATTTTTTTAAAATATCGCTTCATAAATAGGCTCCTAAGCTCTTTACGTATAATCTTATGAGGTGTAATTTTATCTTACGAGTAATTATCTTACGGTAATCTTATGAGGCCACCGAACGCGGGTCTGAATCTGGAGTTGCTTCGACCGAGCGAAACAAGCCTGGAATGCAAAGGGTTAAAAGAAGAAATAAAATATTCGATCTTATCCCTATACCTATATATATAAGAATACTTGAACGATGTTATATAGGTGTACAAATAGGGGAAATGTTTGATTTTTATCAAAAATCAGTGTACAAAAACTATTGGATGGTGATAAGAAACACGAAGAGAAGTAGTCTCGGAGAGGAATTGGATAGACACTTGACTCGTAGAGCCGTGAAGCTCGTTGGATGGTTGCATCAGAGCGTCAACGTTTAACCTTTGGATCCGTTTGTTTGTATGCCTAGTGTGGCAGCGGCGGCGGGTCGACGGAGGGCATCGTCGGGAGCGTAAGCGGGAGCGGGAGCGGTGGTAACAGCAGCAGCGGCGGCGGTGGCATGGATTGCATGCCCCTACGTCCAGGCCCCTTTCACTACTTGATAAGCGAGCAGGCGAAATCGTTGCTCGCCCTGCAGGAGTTGCAGAATGAGGTCGGCGCCCTTCTCGAGTTCCGGGACCTCGTCATCGAGACGTTCCCGAACCTCCGCCACAAGATGGCCGCGACGGCGTCCGCGGGAGCGTCCGTGATGACGTCGTCCTCGTGCACCCAAAACTCTCACATCCCTCTGCCGCTTTCGAGCCCGTCCTCGAGGAGAATAAACGAATGGGAGCCTGGCAAGGTGAGGAGGCGAGTTCCCCGGGAGGCGGGCGGCGGCGAATCGTCCTCGTTGCCGAGGAGTCGCAGCAACTCGCACAGCGGCGGGACCAAGAACAATTGCAGCGCCACGGTCCAGGATTCCGGGTTCAGCACCGAGACGTCCTCCAAAGATAGCGCCTCGACCGCGATAGCGCCCAGACCGAACAGTCCCAGGCCAGCTATACTGGACGAGGCCGAGGACGAGCTGTGGAACCTGTTGGACGTGATCCATCGCAAAGGGATCAGGCTGAGAGAGGAGGTGGAGTGTTTGCAGGGTCGGTTGGAGAGCGTGGCGTCCGAGGATCTCGGCTCGACCGACATCCTCGACGCTGTGAGGAAGGTGGCGTGTCTGGAGGACGAGAAGGCGGCGGCCGTGGGATCGAGCGAGCAGGGGAGCAAGGAGGATGACGAGGACGGCAAGGATTCTCAAGTGATAGCTCTGAGGAGGGAGAAGGAAGAATTGTTGGACAAGGTGGCGGAGCTGGAGGCGGAGACGATATCGAGCCGTGCCAGGGCGCAAGAGTTGCAGTCGGAGTTGGCCGCGTTGTCCGCGTTGAAAACGGGCCTCGAGGATCGGTTGAGGGCCGGACTGGCCGAGACCTCCTCGGATATACGCGTGCCCGGCGCGCAGAGGTTGCAACCCATAACACCCGTGGTGCTGCCCACCCTTGTTTCCACGCCGAAGAGCAACAACGTTAGCAATATTAAGAGCAAATCTTCGGCGTTCGCGCCCGTCGCGACGTCCACGACCAAGGCTCACAAGAACCGTTTCCGGACGAGGACCATAGAGAAGAACGTGTTGCTGGACGTTACGGGTCGCAACGAGGAGCTCCGCGACATCGACGTCGAGGCGAGCGTGAACGAGAGGAGGGCACGACTGGGTGCGTTGGATTCCGTCCTTGTGTCCCCTACCAGGGTCGCCCACGTCAAGGACGTTGATTCGAAGAAGATCGCTGCCATTCTAAGAGAGAACTCGCCCCTCGAGTTGCAGCGGCATTTGATCACCACTACCGTCCATAATCAGGTAAATCGTCGCGAGAATTCCCTTTTATTGCTTACTAGTTGGCCGCTCGTGATTCGAAATAATCGTAGGGTTTTTGAAACAGGTCCTACAAAAGAGATTAGACGAGGTGGAAAAAAGTACGGAAACTCTCTCGGAACGGTTGGACAAGGCACGAGAAGAGAACGATGACCTACGTTTTCAGGTAATGATATTTGGCGCAAACAGCGTAGCACGAACGAAACTGAAAAAATTCTGATACGACCCGACGACGTGGCGATATTCCAGTTGGAAGAGAGGAACATCGAGTTGGAAGGTACACGGGCGCGCGTGCGCGTGTTGGAGAGACTGCAGCAAAGGCCGCCGACGGAAGCCGATCCGACGGACGCGGACGGGGATCAACCGAGATGCGAGCAGAACGGTTTGGAGCCGGGGAGCAGCACAGAGTCGGCACGCGATCATCACCAAGCCGTCGAGGTGAAGCCATCGCCCCGGCGTCGTCCTAGTCGTATACCCTTACCCGGTGCCACCGCGAAGGCGGCCGCGCCCAGGCCGCCCAGCCACGGAAGGAACGATAGCAAAGAGTCGTTGAAGTCGTTGACGAGGCCTCCCCGTGATTCTAGTCGCGACAGCCACTGCGGCAAGTCGTTGTCGAAGGCTCGTGACTCGAATCGTGATTCCCTGGGGAGCAAAAGCCTGACCAAGAGCGGCAACAGCAACGGCGGAAGCGGAGGCGGAAGCAACAACGGGAACGGAAACGGCAAGGAGACGAACAGGGAGTCCCTGAACAGGTCCCTGCCGCGTAACAATTCCAGCCGAGACTCCTTAAACAAATCCTCCTCGCTGTCCCGCGCCCGAGACTCGCTGGAGTCTAACAACCTCGGCGCGTCCTCATCCCCGGGGACGACTCCTCCTCGACGACCGCCCGCTCCTGCACGCCGTTCCTACAGCCTGGCCCGCGCCTCGTCATCCGTTGATACCGAGAACGGCAAGGTACGATCCGTAAAGCAATACTTTTGGACCAACTGGCTGAAGTCACCGTTATCCAACGGCCCGATCTAGTAGAACGTCCACGAGTATCCTCTTCTCCAGGACCAAGGCCAATAGTCACGATCTTAGGGATATCTGCTGCTTTCGATCGCGGCTACCTCGAACCGAGTCTCCGCCTCTTACGCCTCTTACGGACCTTCTAATTTTTTTTCTCCCACGTCTCGACACGCTGACTTGTGCTCACCGTCAACTCGGTTAACGAACAGCAACGCTCGCTACGATCGATTGCATCGTTTTCATCTTATCGGTTACATAAGTCTCAGTCGTTTACTTATTTCCCCTTTATTATACTATACTTAGTATATATTTACATCCCGTATCCCCGTTTCCTCGTCTCTACCTTTTTTTGCGGCATCGAGAACGTACGTGCCGAAATTAAACCGTTCCATTCTCTTCTACTTTCGATTCGTTTCCTTTTTTTTCTGTATCTCTCTCTATATATATATATATATTTCTTCCGTCGTTCTCTCCGCCGCGGCTCCTCCCTTCCTTCCGCAACCGATACCCCGTAGCGTGCCGATAACCATCTATCTATCGAGATGTGGAATAGTTTTTCTCCGATCTAACCACGATCCCCTCGACACACTCGATCATCATATATTTCCTTGAAAACGTTATTCAAACTCTGACGTACACAGAGACTCTCGACCGACACTTGTCTTAAAAACGACGAATCGCCCGACGATCCACTACCGAAATGTCTGATCTGGAGCGCAGGCGAGCGTGCGTTCGAGCCCGTCCCCGGCGGTCCAATAAAGAAAATGGCCCCTTCTCGCGTGCCGCCGGTTTTTCTCGTAAGTTATGCTTCTTTTATTATCATTTGCTTCGATGCTTCTTCCTGGATGTGGTGAGCTATGAGCCTGTTTTTTTTTTTTTTTTTTTTTTTTTTTTTTTTTTTATATACATATCCTCATCTTCCACACTTTTTTTCCTCGACTCGTCAAGTAGTAAGCATCTGTAGTTTTCCCTCTGTTACATTTACATTATTATTTTCACTTTGGTTCTTGGCATGCGCACGCACCCGTAGTCAGCCATCCCTCTTAAATTTCCATCTAAATTTCGAGTCGAATTGAGTTTATTATTAGATTGTTTGTTTTTTTTTTTGTTTTTGTTTTTGTTTTTGTTTCGTTCCAGTGAAGAAAAAGTAGCAGTGTTTGTGACACGTGATCTTAATAACTTTAACAGATATTGCATTTTCACGCGAGGATTCGAGTGATCGAAGAACGTGAAAGTGAAAGAGTGTCACTTGATATCTCGATTCCTCCTGATTTCCAAATACTTTGAATATATATTATTTCATCAAATTGGATATTTGACTACAAATGAAAACAAATTTCCTTATAGAATATTGATCATAACTCGAGTCTCTCTTTTATCTCTTCCCCTTTTTTTCTTTTTTTTTTTTGATCCCAGTAGTATACAAATAATAATTCGTATTTGCAAAAGAAAAAGAAAGAGAATGCATGCAAATCGATATAAAATGCTTTGTCGAATTTTGTGACACGAATAATCGAGCTCCAATTAACTTTCGAGATAACTTTATTATTTTTTTCAAATATCTTATTCCCTCTTTTTCTTCTTTTACCGCTTTTTACAGTATTGTTAACGATCCGTGGTATATGGTCTAAAGTGTATACAGCATGGGTCGTAAAAAACGGCCAAGGGTTAAAGTGCATTCGTAATGCAACGATAAATCACAAAATTCGACATTATTATAATTTTAAACGGGAAAGCGAATGTCGGGGATAATTTGACTCCTCGACTGTCCCTCGACTGTCCATCTCCCATTCCACCATATTGCCGTATTATTATTACGTTCATTCCAGTTCATGAATCCGAGAAAGAAACGAGCAATTTGTCCGTGCGCTCACGTCCAACCACCGATATTACCGTAAATTTTCACGCCGTGCTATCGAAGATTCCCACTTTTTGTTCTGTATTTTTTGTCCATTAATCATTTCGGTTTGTTTGCTCTTTCATTTGCTGAAGTTTGATCTTATTTGCTAGCGTTGCTTGTATGCGGACATTATTATATACAGCCTCGAGAGCCACATTCACGTGGCTCGGATTCGTATTTTTTATAACGATTGATGTAAAGGAAAATGAATCGACCACACGCTTACCTGCTTGGCCTTGCGGTTCATTGTCCACCTCACGTCCAGTGCTACGTGATACTACGAATTAAATACTAATTTACAATGTCGTCCATTTTTATATACGCGCCCACCTCTTCTGAATATTCGCAGCGGCGATCGAATGTTCGCGCCTTTTTTTTTTTTTTTTTTTTTTTTTTTTTTTTTTTTTTTTTTTTTTATTCTTTTACGAACTTTCGAATTATCCTCGAATATTCAGAAAACACTCGCTCGGAGAGACGAGTTGTGTCTCCGCCCCGAATACGCACATTCGCATATTCTCATAAATTAGCGACACTTTCGACTAGTCGTCATTAGTATCATGTAAAAGTACCGAAATACCGGTGTACGAGCACTGATCATTGTGTGGGTTTCTCTTTTTGTGTTGTATTTTGCCAATTGGAGGAAATTGAAACGCCGTGAAATATATACACATATATATACAAGCTACGTGCAAATCACGAAACGACGAGTTCTCGTTCGCAAAGAATGAAAGCGCAAGATTAACGTTAACGTGAAAAATTGGTAACGATTTTCGAAATTTTTCAGAGTTGCACCGAACCACCGAGTTCATGGTGCTCGACCAACGGCAGCTTCCGGCACAGCGATTCCTCCTTGTATCCGGACTCCTTGAACCAAGAGACCTCGTCGGTCACCGGCACTACAAGAGTGGAATTCATCATCGGTTCGCCGACCAGACGCTTCCGTCAGAGCTCTGTCTGGCCACACCGCTATTTCGATAGCATAGACTCGGCGGCGGCCATTCAGGAAAGTCTGTTAACCGACGAATTTTCGCTTCGACGTGGCGAGGCATTGGCCGAGTGCGATTCTCTCGAATGTCATCCGATCTCGAACGAGAGCTGAATGATCGCGGAGATGTCGTTTGTCGGCCAAAATGTCTGAGGAATTTTGATGGATTGACTCGTTGAATCGAGCATTTATCAATGATATTGAAGATGAAGATTGATATCTTTCGTTGCGATCCGTTTTAATTTTAATCTTCGAATAGTCTTCCTAATAATGCTGCGTATTGTTGTTAAAGAAGAAGTATGCATGTTTTTTTGTTTCGTGATATTTATATTTGTATAAATTGTTAGGAGAATTTAATAATTTTCTTCTCGTCGGTTGTCGCTTTTATTTTTTGCAAAATTTTCTAAAGCGTAACGAAGTATGAAATGTTAAAATATTTATCACGAATGAAACTTTTCTGTTTTAAGATATTGTCAAATTAACCAATTGAAGGTTAAATTTGAATATTTTTTTTTAGTTTTATGATCAATTATACGATCAATTTCTTTTTAGAAAAGATTTATAAGGTATTACTACATTCAGTATTATACGATCCAACGATGAAGAAAATTTTTAAGATTATCATTTTCAAGTCTTCAAGTGAATTTGATATCGATCTTATAAATATTTGTTTTTTCTTTTTATTTTATATCGATTTTTATTATTAAATTTTTATGACCAATAATATGTTCAACAATTGACTTAATTTGTACATAGAAAATCGTACGTGTAAATTCTTTTAAAAGTTTTATTTTAACGAAGTAATATTAGGAATTGTGCGAGTTTGAAACATCAAGATTCTTCAGTATACTGCAATTAATGATCATAGGAACAAAATATTTTTGTAATAGCTGATTGCGCCAATTATCATTTCACATTAATCATTTTCACGTTTTGCATTTTAGATGCATTTTATCATGTGAATTTTTCTTAGAGTTTACAAATCAAGCATTTCAAGCATTATGGAATTATATTGTGTATTTTCTAACAACTGACAGAAAATTAATCAATTTTTTTAATTTCCAATAGTAAAACTGTATATGTTTAGACGCAGAGATTGATAATCATGTATGATACACCGACGTGTGTTCATTTGCAGTGTCGAATGAAAGATATATTGATGTATATAATTTTCGAGCTAAAATTTTTATTTATTGAAAATACTTTTTATCTACTTGACAAATATATCTACCCTTTATCGTTCTATAAAAAGAATTATTATAATAATTCTTTAAGGGAGCAATAATGACTATCAACATTATTGTCGATCTAATTTTTTTGTTCTATAAATCTTCAATAAATAAAATCGTTGAAAAATGTAAGATAAAATAATTTTAAAAAGTACAAGCATTTTCTTATGAACTTTGGTAAAAACGAAACCAAAGTTAGGAATATTTTTTCGTCCCCAAAAATGAATAGGTCGATAGATACATATTCACATTTCATTGTTTATCGACATTGAATTATATAATATTTTATAAAAAATTGTTAATATCCATAAGTTAACGTAAAACTTACATTTTCAATAGAATATACGATATTGTTCTTGAAAAACAAATATTACAAATGAATGGATTTTCACTGTATAATTTTAACATCATTTGTTAGTATATTTTTAAACGTTAAATATTTTCATGAAAATAAATTTGGATTTTTATTGCTCGATAAAATGTATTTTTTATAAAGTAATTATTTATACAACCAACTTCAAGAATAAGTTTGTTCGACAAACTTTTAATTACTTGATACCAGTTTGGTAAGATACATATTTTTTATTATTTCCAATTAATCGTTGATGGAATTTTTAAAATGTATATTTCAGTGCATTTTAAATTTTTACCTTAAGACTGTACCCTATGTACTAATACAAAAATTGTCTTGTTATTGTCGAATCATCTTTCATAAAATTATAAAACGTCTTTTATATTTATATACTTTATGTTTATACTGAAGTGAGTTTTTTTAATCTCTTCATGCTAAATATATTTCCTTTTAATATTTTGAAATATATTTAAAAATATTTTACTTGGCAAATGTTTGAAACAATATTTTTGAAGAGATAAAATAGCTTTTACTACTATTAAAAAANATATATATATATATATATATATATATATATATATATATAAATCAAATATCTAATTAAATGAACATTAGAACATTTTTTTATTTAACGTTATATTAATTTATTAATGATATAATTTAAATTTATAAAAAATTAATTCTTTTTTTTTTTTTTGTTTTATACTTTTTACATTTATAGGTGCATGAAAAGATTAATAAAGATCAAATATAAATGATATTACAATCATTAGCACATTCCATGCTGCAAATTCAACAATCTCGTATTCCATATAGCATTTGTACCTTTCATTTAAACTTGCGTTGTGATTAATGTAATTTATTTATTGTATGTGTGTGAAACCTGTTGCGATGTATTCAACAGATATTCATATTCATGAAAAAAATTATTTATGAGGAAACTTTTGAAAAATGTGTCTCTTGAAATTTTATTTAATATTAGAAGGGATTTTTAAAAGGTAGAAAATTAAAAAAAAAAAAAAAAAAAAGAATGGTAGAAAAAAGCCTGTTTAAGTGTACGAATAAATCTTATAAAAGCATAAAAGCACACATATCAGGCGAAATGATATGAAAAATGTATCTCTGACAATACTCTCACGTAATATAGACATTATTGTAAAATTTAAACCGAACTCTTTTTTGAGTCGACCAGAAATTTGTCAACCGTTAATGAATGCTTATTATTTGGGAAATTTTTTAAAATAATCGAAGGATTCTTTGACAAATACAAAGTAGAAAATATTCTACGAAAATCAAATAAATATAAAATCATAAATCTCAAGAATTTAAAACTGTGAAAATAAATCACTATTTTCCAACAATTTCTCTATTATTTTTTTCCAAATAGAAATATATCGAAATATCTTTATTCTTATGAATTCTTCGAATCTTCAAAATTCCCAAATATATATTCTCATTTAAACACGTATCCATACCGAGAAGAAAAAGAGCAATTGCGTGTTGAGAAAGAGAAGAATGAGAATGTGAAAAAGGAGAGTGTCAGTATAAAAAAAAAAAAAAAACATATTAGCTATTGTGAGCTAGATTGATAGGTCATCGGACCTAGAATTAGTCGGATCGTATGACTTGAGTTTAATGGCTCGGTAAGAGACACTACCACACAGTTCCTTGCTTCAACTTATTTCGTTATTTATAAAAGTGAAGGAAAAAAGGGAGTAGCAACCACGAAGACATCGTTAATCATAGTGATTCTACGCGTGATGCTAATTGTTACAATGGATATTGTACGAAGTAAAAGAAAAAAAAAACATGTGATTAACTTTGTAGAAACTCACATAGGACTGACGAACTTTACTTACTATATTATATTATTGTTTTAGTGCCTAACTATTTTTACGCGAATAGAAAGAGAGCAGACGAGTGAATGACCGCGCGAGAGAAAGAGAGAAAGAATGAAACTAAAATGCCGTGTGTGAATTGAGAGACAAGTTTCCGTTTTTTAGCCGCCGTATTTGTGTCTCGAAATGCAAACGCATAAGAAACGAATAATAAATACGAATAAAGTAAGAAAGGAGGCGAAAAGTACGATAAATGCTCAGATACCAATTTTTCCATACTCGCGTGTGTACAGTTGGCGGACTGTAATAGTGTGCCAACTGGAGGCTATTATTTTTATACTTTTAATTAACGACTGTGAAAATGAGAGCGAGAAAGATTGTTGAATAGACTGTGTCGACTTTAGCAGCTTCCTTTTTTTCTCGATGATAATTATCTTTCATTGTCGTTGTATTATATTTGATCACTAGACTTACCATCAGGTTCCCTGGCCATCACGCCACCATGCGGCCACCGATGACTAAGAACGATTGTTTTATTATCGACATACATCCGACACAATTTGTATATGTATATACGTAATTACGGCATCGTGAATTATTTAAAAAAAAGTTAGTTTAAATGTACAGATAAATCTGTGTAACACGATATCTGCGATAATGTGATCCGATTAATAAATACGATATTACATAGCGCAAGTGATTTTCCATTGTCCCCAACAATTGGAAATTATACATTTTGATTGAATGTTTGAAATTGAATATTTTGATTTAAATGATATTTATCCGATAAATTTATCTTTCTATTAGATTGTTCAATGTATTATTATTAATTTGTCAAATTAAAATTTGATACATTTATATATAGAAAATTTTTTAAAGTTAGGTTAGATTTTTTTTTAGTTGCGTTTAAAACTACTGAAATGTTAATTATTTTTATTCAAGGATTTTCATTATCGTTTATCATACTATTTATCAGTATAATTGTCGATATTTTTACAAGAAAATAATTTTAACTAAGTTCAAGTTGTTAAAACATAGTTATCTTATTTTATCGTAGTCATATTTATTCGCTTTTTTATATTTCTGTAAGTTACATAAGTAATGAATAATATAATTCTTCTAGTAATTACGTAAGTAATAATTGTAAATGAATGAAAATTTATAATATTAAATATATTTATATTTTTTATGTCAATTGATAATTTAGTTGCAAGTTTATTCAAATTTATAGTTTATTATAGGTTATTAAATTTTCATTTTTATTGTTGTTATAATTATTGTTTATATTTTTTTTAAATTTAAATCATGAAATTTAAAAATTTAAGCTATAATGAAAATCTTTTTTTTATATCTATGATAATTCTCATTCAATGTTTTCACGATAAGAAAGACTATTGTTTTAAATGATTTATCTTATTCAAATCCTCAGTGCACTATATAAATCTACGAAAATAAAAATAAATTGTTGGCTAATTTAATTTACAAGGAAATCGAAACTTAATTTAGCAGCAGACAAGAATTCCGCAGAAAATTATTTCCTTATCTATTCATCGAAGGACACAGTAATTACATTTCTATGATAAATACTTATCCATTTGAAAATTTAAAAATCAATTTTAATTTAAATGTAATATTTATCGAATATAGGTAATTCATAATATAATAAAAGTCAAAAAAAGAAGGAAGACACTTTGAAAAACGATCATTTTCTGTATATCCAAACAATAATAAAAAATATCGATTCCTTATCAAATAAAGGATCGTAAAGATTTATTTTCTCATTCGAGGATCGCCATTAACACCGATATATGGTATTATCATATTGTAATAAAATAATTTAGAGATTGTGATGGGTCAAATGACAGAACTGAGTTATTGTCCGCCAGTATACGAGGTCGTCGATTGAAATTCAACTGCCTTCGCGTATCATCGTTGGAAGTCCAGGAACGAAACTTCCGGATATTTCATCGAAGAAAAAAGAAGGGGAAGGACCTTGTAAGAGTTCTGTAAGGAACTCATGATATAAGCGACAAGTGAGGTTAACCCAGACTTACTATGGAACGTTCTTTATTTCCCTCTTCGTTTATTTGTCAATGACAGATACACAGAAGTGAAAGGTATGGAAGATCTGAATCAGGAAGAAGAGTACGATCCCATCAAACATCGTGCACCAGAAGCAATGACATCGTAGGAATATATTTTTCATTATTTTTTGTCTCTTTAATAGATATAATATTAATTGATGAAAAATTAATTTTGATATCTTTGTATAGCCATTAAATTGGACCATTCAAAATGATTCAAAGTTCAAAAATTCAATTTTTGTAATTAGTATTTTTTGTAGTATTAGAAAAAAGAATATGAATTTATTATGAGAAATTCTATATTTGAGTGAATGAAAAAATGAAGTTAAATTCTTATAAAAAAATTTGTAGACATCAAATCACGATAATTAATATTAAATTAGTTGTTTGCTTGTTTTTTTTTTTTTTTAATATTTTCTTCTCCATTGAATCCATTAAATTTGATATCTTTTTATATTTAATTTAAAATATTAAATATTTCAGAGATTTCGTTGCGTTGCTGCATCTATTCAAATGTTCTTTGGGCAATGGTATATTTTTTTTGCCATATGGATATAGACGAACTGGTTACATCGTGGCAATATTTTGTGGTTTCTTTGTTGGTACATTGTACATGCACACGATTTATATATTGGTAAGTAAATAACAAAAAAAATGAAAATAGAAGAGTATAATTTATAAATCTTTTTGTTTATTAACTTTCAAGGAATAGTGAATTAAATGCTTGTATATATTAATATTTTTAAATCATTATATAAAAAGAAGAATTAATATTTAAATGAAATAAATTAATGACTAAAGAACAATACTTTGAATCTGTATCTATCTGATTTATAGTATGATTAAACAAATGAATTACATATACTTATTACATAGAATCAATTAAATTTTCCGATATAAATTGTATATAAATATATTGTTATTTACAATCTATAAAGTATGTTAAGTTATTCAATCCAATATTAATTTAATTCAAATCCAATATACATTTTTAATTTTAAACTTCATTATTGATTCAAATAACGTGTAAAAACGTTAAAGTTAAAGTTGTTTTTAGTTCAGAAATATTATAATTCATAATTTTAGTTTTTTATATATCATTTATTTTCCAATTTTCAAAATTATCAATTTTGTAATAAAAACATCATTTGAATAGAATTATAATTTAAAATATTTATTCTATAATTTTGATAGTGATGAGAGATATTAACGCGTTTAAGAAAAAATCTTATTTAAAATTCTTAAAAAATTTTACTTAAATAGATAATCTTTTTTATTACTTAACATTCAAGGTTACTCATTTAATCATTACACGCGAAAAATATTACGCGAATAGGAACAATATTTACCAATTTTACGGAAAATATAGATTGTAGGTAACAACATGTTTATAATGTCGAAAAATTCGTTCATGTTCAAATATTTTGCTTCAGAGGAAAGGCCGTGTCGTATTTACAAAGCTTAGTCCATTGTGGAAATCGCGGCACAATAGCTTAGATACAGGCAATATACGTCTGAAAACGAGTTCTCTGAACGCAGGTGCAATGCTCTCAGATATTGTGCAGGCGCAATCGCGTACCGATGTTGGATTTCGCCAAAACAGCAGAGGCTTCGTTTCTCAGTGGTCCACTGAAGATTCAAAAGTATGGAAGAACGTTCGGCGTTTTGATTAATGTGGTCGTTTGCCTCATACATTTGCAGGGTACCACGATATCCATCCTTTATGCGTCCACTTTGTTCCAGCAAGTGAGCAACGATTTCATTTACGATTTTCATTTAGGCTTCGAAGGCTTAACTCTCGAAAGATTATTTTTCCGTATCATCGACGAATCGATGTCGATTTCAATGATTTTTTTTTTTTCTTAGTTTTATAGCTTTTGATCATCAAATTAGAACCACATTCGGTTAATTTAATTTTTCAATTACGAAGAAGTATCGTTGAAGTTGGCTATCTAATCAATTGATATACTTAGTACTTGATATACTTAGTGTTTAATTTACGACTATCTAAGTTTTTAAAAAATTTAATCTTTAATTAAGCGAGAGATAATTCATGATTGTTATAATTATTTTAATCACTTTAATCATAAGCAGTATTATTAAAGTAAAAATATTTCAAATTATATAGAATTTAAATAATTAATGTAAGTTCTTTAGTTTTTCATATATTTAAATATTTTATGCAGACAGATTTTTATTAAATACAAAATATTAACATATATGTGTTGATTATAATTTCAATATATTAAATTGTTGGAATTTATAAATTCAATATTATACAGTTAATTAGTTAAAAAAAGTTACGATACATCATCTGTTTGATAATAAAGAAAATATTTAAGAAAGGAAATGAATTGGAAAATTTTTAAATAGAATTTCTTGTTTCAATGAATACAACCTTGCTTTTTCATTATTGTTTCTCATTTCTATTGATTCGTCGATGGATATCGAAAAAAAATATTCCTATGATTTCAGTCGTTTCTATTGGTTTACGAAACTTTCACTTTAGAAATCAAAATTGTCATAACTTTTATAACATTACATAAAAACATACTCGAGAATTTTATTAGATTTCTCGCACGTGTAACGAAGATAATAATTAATCAGCGAGTTTCTATAAGTTTTAAACTACAGACGTTTAATTAGTTTACTGACATTCTTTAAAAGACATCTGGAAATTCCATGTGCATCATCTTCCTCGTGCATAATTGAGGAAAAGATGTGAGACAAATCGTAAATTTGTTTCGAGTGTCGAACTGCAGCATGTTTTATTTACTGGCATTTACTAAAACGAGAAAATCATGCATAAAAAAATCTATTTGAAATTTCTAAAATTGTGCACACTCTGAAATGATGTGAGAAATGATGAAAGAGAAGTTTTGCCTTTATGCTATGATTTTAATTTGAATACTCGGATTTCCTACTGCATAATATATCGAATTTCAATAGACTCAACATTTAAATTCGTATTTAATTTCTTTATTTATTATTTGTCCTAAAGAAATTGCATGTCGCTAATTTTAGCATTTAAATCTTATCGCCATGCAAAAGCTTATTTAAGATAAATACTTTACACCTTGAAACTGTTTGTTGAAGTACTGTTACGACTTTGACATAAATTCTTTTCATGTCAAAAACAGCTATGAGACGTATGGTTTCTTTATATCAATTGTATTTACACATATTGCATTCTTTGAATTAATCACTTGAAAAGAAATTGGGTCATTTGAAATGTGTGCTCAAAGAAAAAAAAAAAAAAAAAAAAGAAAAAAAGAACAAAAAGAAAAAGAAAAAACAATACTCCAATATATACTAACTCTATTGCAGAAAAGATGCTATGATAACGATAATAAGATTCGACTTTCTCGTCTTCTTATCCTTGTGTGTAAAAATAAATTTATTGTAAAAGACATAGAAGTTACATATTCACAAAGGTATGAAAAGATTATGTATAGAAGCAAGAAAAACATATGTACTTATCTCAAAGGTAGAATATAATCAGCAATTCGGTAAATTTTAATAGCCATCATTAATTTTTTAGTAGGTCATTTATCATTTTTATTGGATGATCAATTATAAGAAACATATGGTACACGCATGATAACTATTTACACAGAATCTTAGCTGTAACATGCAGGATATGCTACGTAACATCTTTCAATAAATTAATATACAATAATACGAGCTCGTTGTCGATACATACGAATTCAATGGATCTTCACACCGATATGTTTAACACGTTCAATGCGGTAAAAAAAAAATCGAATGGCGGATATTAATTTTCAATGACGCACAAGAATAATTTTCAATACCAATAATACCAATAATATCAATTATAAAATATCGAAAAATATAAATAAATTCGAAATAAATTGTTCACACAAACGACAACATTTCTATTGAACTCGTAAATGCAAAAGAATAATCGGATACATGGATAAGATTTTTTTATTCTTCACATTTTTTTTTTTTTTTAAATTTCATAATGCGTCATAGGAAATCCTTGTGATTATTATTTTTATTCCAATCACTCGCATTGAACGTATTAGATCAGAATTATCTCACACGACGAAATGACGAAATGATCAATCCCATTAATTTCCAGATGATCGAATATTTCTCCGAAGTCGAATTGAATCTTCGATTCTACGTAATTGGAATGTATCCATTTGTCTGTTTATTTGCTTTTCCAAAATTCAAGTATCTGGCGCTATTGACCATGCTCGGTTCCATATTCATACTGACAGGCATTGCCGTCACCTTGAATTATCTCATCGAGGATTTTCCTGATCCGAACAGATTGGAAACTTTCACTCAACTAATCCCAATCCCTACGTACTGCAACTTATTCCTGAACGCTATGCACAACGTGACCGTGACCATGCCGCTCGAGAACAGGATGAGGACTCCGCACAACTTGCCACGAATGTTAATACTCAATGCATCGTTTAATATCTTATTGTACACGACATTCGGATTCCTCGGTTACAACAAATATATGTACGATGTCTACGACACTGTAGTCAAGAATCTACCCGTCGATGTACCGTGAGTTGATATCTTTGTTTTTCATTTTTATGGGTTTTCGATTTCATTTTTTTTTTTTTTTTTATTTTAATTTTAGATATGCGAAGATTAGATCTTTAAATTTTAAATTGATGAAATTTAAGATCAATGTTATTTTAATTCAATCTTTCGTGAAATTTTAATTGCATCAGAAATATTTGAGATGATGTATTTAAATGAAATATTCAAAATATATAATGATGTTAATATATAATGATGTTAATATATAATGATGAAAGATGATAATGAATTTCTCTTAACACGCTGTTGATTAATTACTTTATATATCAAGAACCAAGAACTAGTTGTTTATTGTGCAATTTGTTATTATTATTATTAGTAAAAAGGTTGATTAAATTTTGATATAATTTAATAAACTATCTAATCTCAATGAAACTAATATAATAATGATGTAATAATCTTTATTTATCATTAATTAACTCATAGATAAATTATTGTACTTATTCAAAGACTTTGAGATGTCTAAATGGGATTAAAATAATATAATGAAATATTGTATAATAGATTATTGATTAGTGATTTATAATGATTAATAAGTTTAAAGTTTCAGGATTAAATTCCATTATATTTATCTTTTATTTTTATTTATAAATTGATAGAAATAAAAACAGAAACGATATTTAATTAAATTTTTTTTTAATTTTTTTTATTATTTTAATTAATAGAATATAGAGAATTTAATAATAAGTACAGTTTATAAGTGATATAGCAAAATCTTTATCATTACATTGAAATATTGCAAACAATGTTATCCAGATAAAATTCCTCAATACCGAACATACATTTATTGCTTGTAATATTCCAAACTGATATGTACTATGTATAATATAAATATATATACTTGATGAAAGTACTTATATGTACTAAGATATGTACTAAGATAATTCTTTAATTACGTACTTGATATTTGTGTAAATATATACAATTCTCTCTAAAAAGTTGAATTTTATTTTCTAAGAAGAAAAAGGAGGAAAATCAATTATAACAAAGAATTTGAAAACGCACGTTGTATTTTTTTCAAATAAATTAGGCTCGAAAGAAATCTTTTCAAATTATAATCATAAATCGAATAATCATGATAAAAAACTATATTTAAATTATTTTAATAATCAGATTAATATTAATATTATTATATACACCGAAAAGGAAAAAATTTATTTACTTTTCTAACTGCTTTTCAATCAAATTATCAAAGTAATTTTTATACACAGTATTATCACATAGTGTAAAGATAAATATGTATTATCTATTGTCAATATTATATTATTGAAACGATGCATTTATTTTCACGAAAAAGAATAGAGAAAAATCTAAATTATACAGAAATGGAATTTTATCTATATATCGATATGTTTTCACGTATATCGAAATATCAATGTCCTCTCGAGAATTTGAAGATGTCTATAATTTCTTAACATTACCATGAAAAATCAAAATATTGTATAATCCTTCTAACTTGAGCTTTAATGTCGTCAAACAAACATTGTGCACGTTACGTATTAACGTATTATATAATTACACTACTCGATTAATTATTCATTTTTCATTCATTCCTTCACACCGCTATTGAGATGTCATCGAGATATTTACATTATTTTCCTTAAAAGATCAATATCTTTTCGTAAGCAGTGGCGTATCTAAATTTCTAAAATAATAAGCGGCGTGTGTACGTGAATGAAACACAACATACATAATTCATACACGTTAAGAAAGTGGCACGTAAGAACATGTTTTGAGGATGGAAGTAGCATGCAGATCATTTTATTTGCAACACGGTACTGCATCCTCAAACGGGTGGCGCGTTTAAATCATTGCTACAACCTGTTGAAATCTTCACAGTCGAAGGAATCGATACCAAGGAAATCATTTAAGATCTTGAAACGTAATTTTTTTTTTTTTTTTTAATTTTACGGTCGGATGGCCGTTTATTATAAATTTGATTTCGTTCCACTTTAAAATAATTTTTGTTACAAGATTTATCAATTGTATCGTTAATAAATTGAGTTGAGGAAAAATGTACGATATAAATCTTTTGAGTGATCGAAGAATAATTAGTTGTGCCGTAAATTATTATAAAGAAACATGAGGAGATAAGCGATATCATGTTGATTAATAATATTATCACTTACGATTCGGTATAGTAAATATTAATCTAGACTAAAAGTTTTATCCAATTAAGATTATCGATTTCGTATATCGGCTAAAAAATTCGCAGACTTTGTTTAATGGAAGATAATGGAAAGTGGAATGAAATGAAACATGATTTAGTTTTTTCTTTTTTTTTTTTTTTTGAAGATATAATATTTCGTGCAATTAATCATACCTAAGTTATTGTACATTTTTTAAATTTATTTTCTATTTCGCTTAATACCAATAAAATATATTTATGAAATTATTATATTATATCGAATATAATTTTATCATATTTTATTATATTTAATTGTATTATATTTATAATATCTCATTGGGATATCATTGCATATTGTAATGTGCACATTATATTTTTTAATGAAAATATTTTCATGCAAAAATTCCATCTATGTTCAAATTTTATCTTATCCTAATTAAAACATGAAATATCATGAAATTCACGATTTGATGAAACAATTACGAAATCAAACTTTAAGTACGAAAAAAAAAAAAAAAATCTGATAATGAACTAATCGCCATTTCGCAAAGTAATACGAAAAAATTGCCTACGTAAAATATCTTATCGATATTTCCTTTAATATAATCACGTTATATTCAAAATCATGCACAAATTCTTCATGATCGAATGAGAAATGAAAGGTCAAGTGACTAGACTAGACAAAGATTAATAATACAATAAGAACAGCTGGAGACTTTTGTATTTTTTGATAGAAATTCGGATTACATGATAATGCATTGTTTCCAGTGATTAGATGTCAAATGATGATTTTTCAAATTCGCATCGCAATTGATATGAGTTAAGGAAATTAATTATCGATACATTCTTTTTAGCAGAAGTGTAGAAATTATTAATCGATTAGTGTTTATTCGAAAGAATTTTTTTTTTACTGTAATTTTCCATACAGAGAAGAATAAAATTTTTTCTTGGAATATCGTTGATGTTTTTTTTTGCCGTATATATTTTCCTTCTATATGATTAACATTCCTTTGAAAAAAATTAATAATGAAATAAATTATATGAAAAGGATTTAATGATCATTGAAAATTATCACGATATATGTATACACGTTTATATACTAGGATGACTTTGATGTGTTTCAATTAATTTTTTTTTTTTAAAATGAGTAATATTAACAATCGAATTGATTATCATCTAAACTTTAAACTTTTTTTATCGTTAGAAAAATTTATTTAATAGCATGAAGTTCTAACAAGAAATTCATTTATTCATTTTAGCATCAAATATTAAGAAAAGATAACATTCTTTAATCGTATAAAAATATTTAATTAAAATTTAATAATATCAAGTAAAATTAAATTTTTGTGCGTTATCAATTAAAATTTATTTCTTATCAAGAGAGGTATTAAATTATAGAGATACAATAGAGATACAACTTTTCCAAGAAGAATAAAAATCTTTCAAATTGTTGTTTGAAAATATATGTAATCATCATTAACATTCTTTAATTATTACAATAACAATTTTAATTTCTTTTTCTTATTTCTCATTAATTATTTCATTTTATTTCCATTAAATACTTTTATTTCGTCTTTTAAATTAATGGAAAAATTCGAAAACTATCTTGAAAAATCGCCAATCTCTTAATCATTTAATCTCTTCAATCTTGATAGAAAAAGAAAAGATTGGATCGATTTATTCTTCATCAATTCGTTCAATCTTTTCTGGTATGTAGGCCGTATGCATGTCCTCGAAAATCTTAATATCACTATTTACACGTACTTCGTGATATTTTTTATACTTTCTTATCTATCCTCACTTCGATATTTGTACACACACGTATATATGCACTGAAACATTTTCAATGGTATTTGATAGAAAAGAATTTCTATTTCTATTTTTAATTTTTTCGTAATTTTTTCAAAGATTCAAAGAGATTTATTCCAGAAAAATTTTGCAACATTAACAGTTTTGATAATTGCGTATTGGTATATGGTTATACGAGAAGAGAAATTGAACAATTCCATAGAAAATTTATTTTATTTATTAAAACGTTAGTTATACTAATACTCGTATACTAACATTTGCTTGATCTTTTATTTATTAGCATAAAAATTTATTATCTTTCAAAAAAATTATTATAAATATATATATATATCATCCTGGATATACAACATCATTTATCTTTTATTTATTTCTTTGTGGAAGATTTTGTAAAAGTTATCTTGTAAAACATATTCGAAGAATTTGTTCTTTACGTTGAACATCTGGCATTCAAAGTACATCCATCAATTTTGTTTCGAAAATATGTACATCATATATGACTTCTTGGTTATATTTCAGACTGTTGTTTAATATAATTATTGAAATGATAACTGTTTCTATAAAAACCTGTTAAGTACTAGAAAATAAATGATATTGAAGTATATTATAGTTTCTACTAATTCTATTATAATTATATAAATAATAATTTTTACTATACTGTAGTTTCGATTAATATTATCACTGTTACTTATATTTTGTTCACTTTGATATTTTCTTTGAAATATTTCTTTATTATAAAAATATATTATATATTTCTTTTTATAAAAACATAAATTTATTTTTTAAATATTTCTTATTTTTATAATCGTCACGTTTATGAATCATTCTAAAAAACTGATAATTTCTCGTTAACGATGAAATAGCAACATTAATTATAACTTTAATTATAACTTCTTCTTTTTTTTATATATATATATATATTCAAGGTTTAAGCGTTTAAACATACTCGAATGTATCTTATCTATTGCGACTTTATCTATGCAAAATACAACTCTTTAAACTAAAATAAAATATTCCAACATTTTGTACATACATCAATTCCACATTTAACAAATTTATGTCTGTGTTTAATATTTTGAATTTAAAAAAATTAAATTACACTCGATATATATAAATCATCATATTTTGTAAATAAAATTTATTTTTTTATTATTCCAGACTCACGCAAACAGTGAAAATAACCATTGCCCTGGCTGCTACGTTCTCGTTTGGAATAGCTTATTTTGTACCAGTCTCGATAATATTGCCCAAGATCCAAAAAAGATTTGGCAAAATAACTGAACATTATGATGAAAATATCTTCCGTATAATTGGAGCAACAGTAACAAGTAAGCATAATTAATTAATTACAAATTACAACGCGTTTCTTTTTTTTTTTTTTTATTTTAATTCCCTCTTAAAGAATCGAATTTTACATGTATGATCGAAAATTAATACACTGTATGGTCGTCAAATTAAAAAGAAACAATTTCCAAAAAAACAAAAAAAAGAAAAGAAAAAAGAAAAAAAAATATAATTTCACAATAATAGCAAAAAAATCGATCATACATTATTAAAATTATCAGATTTATTTTTGTTATATATATTCGCAGCAATATTGGCAATTACAATTCCGCAAATGTTGCCTCTACTAGGATTTCTTGCAGCGTTAAGCATGAGCACGATTATAGTATTGATCCCTATAGTGATAGAAACAGCGACGAAATGGGAGACTGCCACTCGATTTCTTCTCGCAAAAAACATTGTTATTTTTATAATATGGATGGTGTTATTCGTAAGTATTGAAACTTCATAATTCTCATGTTCCGCGTACTTCACGAATTTTTTGTTGATCGTTCGAATTTTTGTGTAATCTACATGATATTACAATATCGTAGAAAATCGTGTATCGAGATTAATTAATCAATTAACATTTGCAAGTAACGATATTTATAATATATGTATATTTATAAACTTAATAGTTATGTTATGCTCGATATCGAACACCATTATTAGAATTTAATGTAATTAACATAACATAATTATTATTTATTATGCAATATTGCTTTTTTTTATCTGATAATTTAAATTAGTTTTTTTTTTCATAGTCAAACAATGGAATATCTTTTTCAATGAAAATCAAAAGTAACGAGGTTTGAGTTCAAAGATTTAAATGCCATTATTTAAATTTTTATAAGGTGTATGAGAACTTTGAGAAGTGCAATTACATGAGAAATCAAAAAATGACATTTCATCTAAGACATTTTGCATTTTCTCGATTTCGTCATACGATAATTAGTATTAGCTATTTTATGTTATTTCCAAAGTTAATCCAAAATAACAATCTAGTCATGGTCTCGAGTGTAATGAAACGACGAGGGAATGTAAATTATTTCGAAACTAAAAAAAAAACTTGCAAAGAAGAAAAACTTCAACTACTTATTTATTTAGCTGTGAAAAATAAAATGCCAAAAGTTTGATCTGCAATTTAATCCGCACGCCAGAAGTCTAATGAATGTTTAAGCAATGGAAAATTATTCTGAAATCGTGTTCGCTGGAACATTGATTTCCTGTGTTTTTCTGTATCCAGATAATGTTCCAGTCGAGTGGATTGGAAATTTGTATAAATCGTCGATATAAAATAATATGGACGAAAAATTTTTCGGGTCGATTTCGATTATTTCCTTTAATTTGTATTTTATAGAGTTTTGGAATAATCGAGAGTGCAGTAAGGATTATCAAAGAATACAAATGAATACGATACGAGAAAGAAAAGATGCTGATTATCGAAGTTGATTAATAAAAATGGCACTAATTTTCTTTGCTGCATCTGTGAAGGGACTCAAAGAAAATGCAAAACCGATTTGCAAGCCGATAAATTATTTTGCAACACAAAAGTGTACAATCTTACGGTACAATTTAACTGCAAATTTCATTCGTTGTTGTTTTATTGATTTAATCCTTTGTTTATTATTTAATCTAAATATAAAATACAGAGGAAAGTTAGAAAATACTTGAAGCAAGAATAATATAACAAACAATGATACAAAGATAAATAAGATATTGTTTCAATTGTTATGTGTAAATATATATTTGTAAAAATATAATATTGATATTTATTGATATTTTTTTTTTTTATTTATGAATGTGAGTTGATACTTACGCTTAGCTACTTACATCAAGTTAATTACATCATCGTGAGGAAAAGATCTGTAGATCATGGAAAAATAATAAATCGAAATGCTTGGAGCCCACGCGGTTTTTATTGAGTCATGAATAATTTAATATTCATAGCATAGATTTGAATATTTACGCGAGCAATTATACGAATGCATTTGTGCTAATCGTTTTTATTGAAACGATCTTCGCGTATAAAAACCGCGTATGTATTTTTCAATTTTGTCTATTAACACTTTCTTATAAGAAAAAAAAAAAAAAAAAAATTATATTTGGCTCTAAATTCCTTTATATTTTTTTTAGAACGTAAAAAATAAACATCGTCTCGCATTGTTTTTTTTTCTCGAATGTCAAAAAAATTCATAATTTCGATATTCTTCTTATACTTTTTTTTTTTTTTACATTAAAATAAACAACGAAATTTTAATATAAATAAATTGTAGATGTGCAAAGAAGCGTTAACTTAAATTCTTATATAATTCCATTGTTCTCTTCTTTGTTTATACGATACAATTTACGATAACGCACGTTTAGTTTAATATAAAAAAAAAAAAACAAAAAATGTATGATAAATAATATCTTTTACATGGAATCATTATTAATCGTGACACAATCGTCCACCTATTTCACTGTATTCACTTGTTTAGAATTTAAACATTAAGCGACATACACTTACTCACCCAGAAAGAATGAATATCTGTTACGTAGTACACATTGAAATTATACGCTGTGAATATTTTTATAAATAACTATTCAAGTAAAATTATCAAATTTCAAATTGCGATCCATTAAAAAATTACAATCCATTACAATTCTTAAATTTCCTTCAAAATTACTTTTTTCAAATCTCCCCTCCCTTTCTCCTCAATTCCAAAACTGATCCTTTCACACTCTAATTTTCTCATTTCGCTCCGCATCAAAACCACATACGTTTTACGTTAAACCCTCTTATTCTTGCCTCCCTTGCAACTTCTTCCACCATCCCCTCCCCCAACACGAATCCAAAATCGCTCCTCCTCCCTAAAATCCTCTCCTTCGAAAATTCAAAATTCTCTCGTCAATTCATCATGCACCAAACCTTGGAAACAATGGAGGTCGAAACGAGTGGAGTTCTCTTTCGAAGGAAAAAGAGTGCATAGAGAGAGAGAGAGAGAGAGAGAGAGAGAGAGAGAGAGAGAGAGAGAGAGATCATCGACACGCGGGAGATCGATGGAGGGATTGTTTGGCCGTTGGTCGAAGCGAGGAGGACGGATCGAAACGGAGGAAGACGGATGGAAGGTGAAAGGGAACGAAATGCGGATCGTATGAGATCACTCACGGAATGAATTTCACAGTAGTCCTGTGTCGATCGTCGCGATGCTTTAAGGATCGTAGCGACTCGGTGGTAGCGCGACGACGACGACGACGACGACGCGTTTTCGCGAGCAATTCGTCCCATAGAGCTTATTAGGAGGACGGCCTCTATCTCCCCTCCCACAACTCGCGACGTCGATTCTAGCGGGACACGAGCGATCGCGCGTCTATGCACAAGCCTGCTTCGTATATATACCTGCGTAACGCCGAAAAAACCTGGCCAGTCGTGTACGAAGCCTGTCACCGTTACACGCGCGGATTTCCCTTGCTTCGCGTTCCCTCTTTTTGCCGTCCACCAAACAACAGCCACCGCCGTTTTCCTCGGAGAACGAGGAGATCCTTACTATCCTTGGGGGACCGATCGATTTCGACTGGAAGATTTTCCGTGCGCATTTTTGAAAAGTAATAAAGTTTGGGACGAGAAACTTTTTTCCTCTTCCCTCATCGAAAGTGGAAGAACTCTTTGATTTTGGATCCATAAAGTCTCCCACGGGATTCGAAGGAATCTCCTCTGGGTTGAAGGAAATTAGAAAAATCTACGGAAGGGAAAATTTGAAAAAGTAGACAATTCGAAAGAGTTAGAAATTTAAAGTTTAAAAATTTATTATTAATTATCAGAAGTGGACAAAGTCGTCCTTCGACGAAATCGGACGAGATTTTTATAGAGAGAGAGAGAGAGAGAGAGAGAGAGAGAAAGAGAGAGAAAAGATTTATCCAATTGGAAAAATTGGATATAATTGGAGAAGAATATAGAATTTTTCCTGAAGTATTTAATTACAATTTCGCTGGCAGTGGCAAAAAAGTATACGAATCAACAACGTTGTTATAACTCAACAAAAGTTATTATAACTCGCTTTTTTGTTTTTTTTTTTTTCGAAAAATTTCCATCCAATACTCAACGAAAGTTGTACGGAATCTTGCTACTTCTCCAAGTGTTTCGAACAGTTTTTCCTTCGCGGCGATACGACAGACAGAGCTCGTACAAATTTGAGACTGGCTTCTATCGATTATCAGCACGGTGATAAGGTAAACTCTAATTGGCTACCGGCAACCGGGAGATACGTGGAAACAGAAGCACTTTCGATTGCATCTGTGAGCCGCGAGGATTTACTTAGCTCTGTGCCGTTGATCGATAAATCATATCGCATGACGGTAACCAAGATTTTAACAAATGAGAATAACAGGAACGGTCGAAATCGTTATCTACCGCTATATTGCCAGTGTTCATTCAGAGAGATAAAATAAAATAGGCGGAGGAGATCGATATAATAAAGGATCTTTCGAATCGAAAATCGAGGAGGAGAGAGAAAGAGAGAGGGTGGAAGGAAGGATCTTTATTCGATGTGCTCTAGGATGTGAATTGAGAATCGTTTTTTAAAGAAAAAACAGAAAAACTGTCAAAGATTTTTTTCATTCTGGAATTCTGAAAATCAAGGATCGAAGACATACACGTGAGTACATTTGTTATATATCCAATGCATCGATAGCATAAACAAACGCGTAAAAATCATTTAAAGCGATATCGAAGCGGCTATAACCAGTTAATGATTATAACTTACTTACGTAACAAATTGGTCTTTCAACGATTGACGAGATCGAGATTCGTTTCGCGATTATCGAGCACGTTTTTATTGATCATTATTTCGAATTAGTACTCCTGTTTGGAAACACGACGTGTTACAACTTTAAATAAGATTCATATTGATACGTGTCAAAGTTTGAGAATGAACTCAAGAAAGATTTTAAAGATTTTAGAATTATTAGGTTTTTTTTTTCAAGTTTTGTGAAATCCTTCTCTTTGAATCGTTTTTTTTTTTTTATATTTGTTCGTTAATATTTGAAGAATTTTAGTCGCAAAAATTGGTCGAATGATTCTGCGTGTTGTGATTGTAAAGATAATGTTTGCTCGAACGCGTGATTAAAAAAAAAAAAAAACAAAACACGAAAAACTTTTAATCAGGTATTTATCTTTTTCTTTTGACATATAAATTCGTGTTATATAAACATTGGAACGTAGATAGTTATAAATGTTCCTCGAATGAATTTTCGCAATTGATTTCTTACGATTCCTCGAATGCTTTTATTTTTTTTTTTTTCTTTTTTAATAATGTTGACGATAACTACAACAATAATAATGTTAACGTCACACTACTTTAAATTCAATGACAAAATATAAAATTTACATAAATATTGCAATACAATTGTGAAATTTATGTATCAATTTTTCTTCGATCGATATTATTAATGTTCAAATAATTTTATTCGAAAATATAAATAAAAAAATCTTTTTCTCAAGTGAATAAAATTTCTATCGATATATTTATTTCTATATATATTTCTATATATATTATCTCTAACATGAAATATAAAATGCTCATCTCGTTAAATATGTTTGAACGTTTATTAAATATACAAACGTAAGTTAACGATAGTTTTTATTTCTTTTTTATTTCGCTCTCTTCTTCTTTTTGATCAAGTTCATTCATCGATTCATTTGTCATAAAAAACGTTCATTATTCACTTGCCTATTTTCGTAGATAGAAAATATTTAGATAAGTTTAGATAATCCTTTATAAATATTTACGATTGTGTTTATTGCGGAAGCCTTGAGGTTAATGAGCTGTTTGTAACATTAATATTGTCATTCAATGATTATTTTCTTAAACTGTAGATTATTCGTTCGCATTTTTTTTTTTTTTTATTTCGTGTGAAAATTGTATGAACCGTGCACAATTGAATGATTCCAATATTTGATTAGAAAAAATAGAATTTATAAAACTATCGTCGATAATCGCAGACATATTTTAAAAACGACAAACGATTCAATATGTATAATCGGTATGTAGAACTTGTTTAAAAATTAAAAAAAAAAAAAAAAAAAAAACTATATTTCGTACGTAAATAATTCTTCCATTTTAGAAACATATCTTGCATTCGTTAGAATACTCGACGCTTATTAACTTTCTGTTTTACGACTATTTTAATGCCTAAGTACGTTAGAGTTAAATATTGAAAATCTCTAGACAGTTGTAAACGTCTGTTTTCCAAGAAAAGACGATACATTATTGTTGATTAACTTATTTGTTTATTTTACTACATTTTAGGATATTTTAACACATATAGTATATCGAAAAAACTCAAAAACTCTTTCTTTCGATAACTATTTATCTGAAAAGGATAAAAAAAGTGGGAATAAATCACGAGAAAAAAATCACAGAGGATAGAAATAATTGAGAAAACGTTTCGATTCTCGTGAAACGCGCGTGAAGTCATGGAAAAAAATTTGCATATCGATTATGGAGATACAGTTTTCTTCGGTAGATTTCCTTCGAAGCACAGAGTCGCGTGCCTGCCGCGTGTACCGGAAATGGACTATCATTGCCTTGGTGCAACGTTGTGTCGGCCGAATGTTAAAACATAGGATTATCGTGGAATGTGGTTAACAGGTGGGAACACGCGGAAACTCGGCTATAATAATTGAGGTTTGCCCGATTACACACATCTACGCGCGATAACGTGCAATTTTTTTCCTTTTATTACCATACCGTGAATTAATAAATTTCATTCCGAATTTAATTTCAATCGTCATTTGACTCGAATGAGTCCAAGTGTGATAATTGCTGTTCGAGCGTCACGAGACAAAGTTTCTGCTTTGCAATTTTGCAGTTGTGAAAGAGCTGAAAAAAAAAAAAAAAAGAAAAGAAAAGAACGAAATACGAGGAATTTTTTCTCAGAAATACACTTGTTTCGTGTTATAAATAGTTATTTTGCTTAAATGTCGAGTAAAATAAAGTTGGCGTTCGAGAGTTGGATCGAGAGTAATATTTATTTTTCGAAATTTTTTTAAATATATTAAAAAAAGGAAAGAAGAAAAAGGAAATTCTCCATTCATAATATTTCCTTTTCAAGCGATTATTTAAAAATTATGAATTCATAAATTATTATAAGTTATTAAATGACGAATGATTCAAATATGTGGAAAAATACTACAAGAATGTGATAACAAAAAAAATTTTAATAAGAAATAATTCCAAGAATAGAAATAGAATAGAATAGGATATTATGCAACATTTAACGACAAAAGGAAATCAATTCTCGCATGACCTTTCGTAAATCACGCTCGTGTGAATTTGCGCAAAGCAGCCACGACAATTCGTGCGCCCATTATCCTGAGATATCGGCATTTCCAGTCCAAGATATCCTAGATCTTACTAGATTAACCATATTCGTACCTCGACACCACCACGGTCCAAGCATAATTTCCGTTTAACTCTCATTGTGCTTACTCGTGACTCCTTTTCGCCTCCCCCTTATTTATATGAGAATATTTATTAGCTACACGAACCTTTCCTGCATCCCCATGTTAGAAAGTTCCACGTTTCGTGTACCATGGAAATTGTTCACGAGTCTTGTCTTGATAGATCCTTTGATCTCATGAATTTAACGAATCGCATCGTTAACATCACTGGATAAATAAATATCTAGAAGGAAAAATAAATCCACGCATCCATTGCGAAATCCATTGTCTTGGAATGTTTTTCTTAAATCTTTGTTGATTCAATTAAAATCTATTATTATATCTTGATAATTTTTTATAGATTTTTCTACGAAGTTTTAAATATTATATTTTAATTACCATAAATTATTATATATATATAAAATACTATAAATTTTAATTACTATAATTATGCTATAATATACTATAATTATTTATATAATTGCACTATTTTTTAATTCTTGTTAACAATATAATATAATATACTATAATATAATATATTATAATATACTATAATTATTTAAATTGCACTATTTTTTTAATTCTTGTTAACAATAATATAGATTTAATTATAATAATGGCAAAAAAAAAAAAATGAGTAGATAGATAAAAATTACAAGAACGATATTTTTCGTTTCCCTTCTCGCCTCCTCTATTTCTCAATAATTGTCGATAATAGTGGACAAAGAACTGTAACTTCCCGTTTTTACTTTGTTTAATCACCAATGATGATAATCTGATTGCAAATCTTGATGGAAGCAAAGATATATCGAATACTATAGAGAAGTGGTATGAAAATACGTCATTATTTTGTATCGAATAATTGCAACATGTGTCGAGTACCATATGATTCATTTCAGTTTTTTTTTTCTTTTTTTTTTCTTTTTTGCGACAAATGTTTATAATTTGTTTCTATCGGAATAAGCTAGTGTATAAAAAAAAAAAATGTATTATTCCTTTGCAATAATAACTCTGATAATCGCTTTGTTAATTGATAAATGAAACATTGTGATAGGAAGCATAAAATCGAACATTGTATTTGTATTCGTTGTATTGTATTCGTTTTATCTTGTTAATTGTTGGCGTTAATAGATCGGGTTATTCATAGGTAATACGCAATTTGAATTTTTAAAGTGAGGATAATTAGACAAAAGCTGTTTAAAATATTGCGTTCTTTTTTTTTTTTTTTCGTTTAAGGTCATCATTAGTAATAAAATATTATTATTATTATTTTTTTAACATAACGCTGCAAAAGTTTTTCATTATAACTTTTAATTACAAAGTAAAATTATATTAAATTCCTTTTTTCACTGTTCGATCTTCTCTTTATCTTTTTTTTTTTTCTTTTCTCTCGTCTATCTTTAATCGATTTAAAGTAAATTCTTACAAATTATTGTATTAATTTTATTGATAAAATTAAGATTAATATCGGTACGGAAAATTTTCGCTGATACGAGATATGTGATCGTATGGATATTTCGTATCCGTAAGCATTATGACATAAGGGCCATCTTAAGAAATACTTTTGTTTCCAAACATCGTTATCGAGATTATCGTGGACGTTGTCAATGAAATCGTCATCGTTTTTTTATAAGATCGATATTTTAACGACATTTGGTCACGTGAAAGACAGATGCGGCGGATTTAATCATTTTTAAGATCGTTTATTCAGATATGGGCTTATGTCGAATAATTGAATGTGCGATAATTCAATCTCACGATAATCAATCAAATATGAAGATAAGATGATCGAGAATGAAGATAAGAAACGGATAATTAGTTGGATTTTGGCAGAAATTGTTTTTGAAGATTTTATGAACTCGTTATTAATGAAGAGAGATAATAATCGCAAATATTCCCAATTCAAATTGAAATAAAATGTCAAATCATTGTTATTATGTAATTGTATATACACGATACTAATTCTTGATGCATTTCTAATAATTTTTGATAATCGAGAAAAATATGTTATATTTTATGTGTATATGATTTTTTAGATACACCATGGAGAAAAATGAAAAAGAGGAACAAGGCAATCCCATGAAAGAGTTCAATAGCAGGTATAGTATGTTATTTGGAAATTTACTTCAGTGAATATGAAATTAAAATTTCTAAATTTTCGTGTTACTGGATTATTACTAAACAATGATTGATAGAGTTAATAGAAAATTTCTGTTAAGTTTATTAATTAATACTAATTATAAGTTTGTAATTTTAATTTTTCTAATAGTAAGTAATAAGTAATATTGAGACTGTCAGTTTGAAAAATATAAAACATAAAAACATACTTTTCACAATTTAATAAAAATATATTCTATTTTTGTATGTCATCAGAACAAAAATAGCCACCATTGAAATTGAAGGATACAACGAGAAGGATGAATTATACAATCCCTTCGAAAATCGTGACAAGAAAAATTCCAATTCGTAAGTAATTTTTATTTTGCTTTTCTATTAAGAAAAAAACAAAGTATGAAAAATTAATACGTTTTATTATACAGATATCCGATTTTCACTCTCTTATATCTCTTATAATAATCTATGTAAATTAAATAATTTATCCCTTACAATAATAATCTAAATAAACAAACGGTATAAACTGCAAATTTTCAATGAACAATCCCACAATTTGTTTCCACCTATATTCTTTTAACACGATCAAACATCGAAACACGATCCTCGATATTAAAAAACTTATTCGTTCCATTGATAGATTTTCAATTTTTCTTCGAAACGAAATTAAGAGCGCAAAAACAAAAAAAAAAAAAAGAAATCTTATCTTTTACAGAGATTTTGGTGCTCTGGCTCATCTATTAAAATCATCCCTCGGTACCGGAATCCTCGCCATGCCGAATGCGATCAAAAATGGCGGGGTGATATTCGGCGGAATAGGGACGATAATAATCGGTTTAATATGCGCGCATTGTGTCCACATATTGGTTCGCTCGTCCCATATTCTGTGCAAACGTACGAAAACACCCCAGATGACGTATGCCGAGACAGCGGAAGCTGCGTTCCTTTGCGGTCCAAAAACCGTCAGGCCTTTCGCTAATTTCAGTCGAATGTTCGTAAATGCCGCATTGTGCGCGACATACATAGGCGGTGCTTGCGTATACGTGGTTTTCGTATCGACCTCGATTAAACAGGTAACACGTCCACGTTGGATTCCAAATTTTTTTTTTTTTTTTTATATATATACACGAATAATTTTCATATTTCTAAAAATATTTTCTCTCTCTAATAATATTTAGCTGGTGGACTTTCACACCGGTATGGCAATACCGATACGATTGTACATACTCACACTGATACCAGCGGTGTTATTGCTGGGGCAAGTGCGAAATTTGAAGTTCATGGTGCCGTTCTCTATCGTGGCCAACCTTTCCATGATGACCGGTTTCGCGTTGACTCTGTATTATATCTTCAACGACATCAAAATACCGTCGCATGTGAAGCCAATCGCCTCGATCGAACAATTGCCTTCGTTCTTCGCTACCGTACTATTTGCCATCGAGGGTATCGGTGTTGTGAGTACGATGATACAATGATATGTTTGATTGATAATATGGATTGTTTTCTCAATTCGATAATTAAATTCACTTTTGCAGGTGATGCCTGTCGAAAATAGTATGAAGAATCCTCACCACTTCCTTGGTTGTCCAAGTGTTCTTAATATAACAATGACTATAGTGGTATCTTTGTACACTGTATTAGGCGTGTTCGGATATTTGAAGTACACGGAAGATATCAAGGGGAGTATCACGCTAAATATACCAACAGAGGACATGTAAGTACTTTTTATTATATTAAACGAATTGCGAACGAATTGTTTAAAATTGTTATGTATTATATACTATATCATATCACTGTTGCTGTTATTATTTATTTTATCAGATTGGGACAAGCGGTAAAATTGCTCATAGCACTGGCAGTTTTATTCACATACGGATTACAACTTTTCGTCCCGATGGATATCATGTGGAGAGCTGTGAAAGAGAAATGTAGTCACAAGTATCAAGGCCTGTGCCACACAGTAATGAGAATATGCATAAGTATATTTACAAGTGAGTTACTTTCATTCTTAAATTATATAATGTGTGCCGTATCACCGAAGATATTGTGCGAAATGCACAATATATCTCTTTCTCTTACTTTTAACTTATCTCTTTCTCTAAAATACTTTTCACTGTAACACATTAATTATTAACGGACAAGCAATGTCGACACGCTTCCTAATCTAAAACTCGTCCTTAAAATTTGTTTTTCATCATAAATCATTAGTTCTCGCGTATCTACTTCGAAGAAAACAGTTTGTAACACTTTGTAACTCTAATACATTCTATATATGTATAGATAATATACATTAGAACTATGTATATTATCTCCTATCTCCTATGCCGACAGACGATCCACGTCTATATATATCCATAATTTAAAATCTGTCGATATAAATCGATCTTTACTACGTGTACCAGACGCATACGTGATACTTTTCTAACAAAGGAAGAGAGAAATGCGAATCGAAATGGGAAGATGCACCCAGATCGGGTCAGTGGAATATCCATTGGCTTTGTAACCGCATGACTCACTATTAACCATGAGCATCGTTCAATGACTCGTGCTCATTTCATTGAGAATCTATCAAGTTCATATATAATGTGATTCACGTCGTTCGTGCTTTGACTTTTCAACGTCTTATGTCTCTTAATAGCGGAAGTTATAATCCTCTTCGATTTATCGTAAAAAATGATTTGCTAACAAAGTCAGACGCATTCATTCACAATCAGTATTTGATCTCTGATCTTTAATTTTTTTTTATTATTAAAATTCGTAGAAGAACGATATCTTTTGTTGTACATTTTCGAAAAATTCGTCTCTTATTATTTCAGTTTGTGTGGCATTACTCGTTCCTGAACTCGAGCCGTTCATCTCTTTGGTCGGTTCGATATTTTTCTCGATACTCGGCATCACGATTCCAGCCATCGTTGAAACAATTTCTTGTTGGGACGGCCATCTTGGCAGAGGCAAATGGAGATTTTGGAAAAACAGTACGCTTGTGATATTCTCTCTGTTGGCGTTAATATTCGGTTCCTGGATCTCTATTTCAGATATAATCAAATTATATAAATAAGTTTATTTATAATGTATTCGCGTACGTGGAAAAAAAGACTTAATTTTCTTAAAATATGTTAATATGTTCACTGTATACTACATTGTATATATATATATTATTGGTAAATTCGAATTTGTTTGAAAACAATACGCATGTGATATCGATTCAAAGAATATGATACAAATTGAAAATCAAGTTTAGATATAAAGTTTTATGATGTAGCATAAAAAATAGACTTTGCAAAAAAATTATTTGATAATTTTAATGATTTTTAATTAAAGATTTTTGTCTGCAGTGAACGTGTTAAAATTCTCAAGACTAGATTCTCTTGAATATTTGTACATTTGTACTTACACTCATCGTAATATAATTTATCATGTAATGTAATCCGTATTGCCATAGAATATTTATTTTTAAGAGTATTCATGTATATTGTAATTTCGTGTACATTGTGTATTTATTTCTACGTTATACTAAAGAGTTTTTGTAAAATACTGTAATTAACTTGATCGAAATGAGAGGAATTAGAAAGATTCGAATTGAAGAAGGACAATGGATAAATCGATTGAGCCAAATCATTAATCGTCAAAATTATTATAATATCGTGATCAAGTATTTATTGTGAATATTTCAAATTAGAAATACAATTGTTCTTTTTTTTTAAATTTCTAAATTGTGCAAAAATGTTGGATATATCTTCACATAAGATTGGTGCTTTATGCTTGCAAATATTTGCAAAAATCTGTATCATTCCTTTTTTTTTTTAAAAAATAACTTCTAAATATTGAATTCAAGTTATTACAGATCTTTTGTTATCTAAATTTTTTATAATATAAATAAGAAATATGTACATATATTAAATATTAATAGTGAGGCTAGATTAGAGATAAAAAAATTAAAAATAAATAAGAAATAAGAGATATGTACATATTCTTCTCGACAAACAATATTTTTGATCATCATCATTTAATTATTTAATTTAATATTATTTTCCAAATTATTTTTAACGTTTTAAATAATTCAATAGATACGAAATGTTGTCAAAACCCTCTTGAACAATAAGACTGATATTATTAGCAAAATTTTATAAATGATAAGCTATAAAAGCTACTTGTAAATAATTTTCATCCAACAAAATAAAAAAATTTAATAGAAACGAAATTTTGCGGAATAAATTTTACAAATTTCATAAATTATTGCGCAAGAGGGCGCAGATATACCATAATCTTTCATTCACTATTTGTATCTACTTTTCATTATTAATTAGTGAACATTGAAATCATTGAAATCACGCAATTTATGTAGATCTCCATGCAATATTCGACTGCGAGTTCGATGATATTAATAATGAATCTGCGATTGAAATTGTTGATTGTCGTTTGCGTTTTTTACAATTGCAGTAAAACATACTTATGATGGTCATGTGAATTCCAATCATCAAAGGAACTACGTCTATGAATTTGATGAGTTTTACAAGGCGGAGTAATTGAAATGTTAATATTATAACAGATAAGTCTGGCGTGTTTCCCTGTAAAAGATATTTGTTAGTCATCTTAATTTGTTTATCGATGAAAGATTGTGATCATATTATAGCGCACGTTTTTATGCATCGCTATTTAACAAAAGATCGTAACTCATAAATTGATATTTGAACTCTCTCGCACGATAATTTGTCAATTCTAATTTTCTATAATTTATTATTTTCTAAATTATTTACTTCACATATTTCGTTACCAAACGTTGTTACGTATGAAAATTTGTTGTGCACCGATGAAATTTTTGAAATTATCGATAATATAAGATTAATCGCGCAAGAGGGTTCTATTTATAACAATGAAAAATTAATCGATATTCGATCGTTTTGCTAAAATTTTGCAAAATTTTACGACGACAAAAGATCAAAGTTTTTTTTTTAAGAAAAAGAATAAAATACTTGAATTAAATTAATAATATAATAACGTGTTATAAAATTGATCGTCATTAACCATTAAATACCCTTCTCGTATCATATCTTATGTTAATGTTGAAATATGGTAATTTTCGAAAAAATTCTTACGTTCGCGCACCACAAAAGAGGAAAATATCCCTCGCTGATATTTGAAAGCAAATTGACTGGTTGTCTTTCCAATTTCAAATTTAATTGTATTTTCTTTTGTCCAGAAAGAGGTGTCCCGGTGTATGGTTCTATAACGATAAATGTCTCGTGTAAATCTTCATTCGGATTTAAGCCATGTGCATACATCAAGAGTTGCGGATCACCGTGTAAAAAATGAGGTTCTGACATGATTATCGGTACTTTCTGCAACATATTAAATTTTAGAACGTATACAACAGACATCTCTTCATTTTCGTAACGTAACATTACCAGACAATCCGAGACATCGATTAAACCCTGCGGCAAACAATTTGGTACTTTGTTTTTTTCTAAACAATAACACTGCGATGTGTTCAGGAACCAGGTTCTTTCTTTCATGACGAATCGGGATCCGGTTAAACCGTATATCGAAACTTCCTTATCATAATCCGCTTCCACACTCCTATATATATATTTTGATAACATACAATATAATTAGGATAGTAATTAAAATATATCATACGCGTAAATAATTATTAATAAAAAATAAAATAAATAAAAGATGTAACTAGATATCTTAATTATATTTTGCAATTAATATCCAAAAATACATCATTAATCAATCGTAATAATCCATTTTGATAACGGATCATTGCTTTAAAGATTTTTTGATAATAATATTTTGCAATTAATTATTATCTATCTACCTGCATAAATCTGGTATAAACGTTAAAACCGAAGGCAATGGGTTTACTAATGGTGGCCAAGTAATTGTGTCAGATCCTCTTACTCTATTACATTTTTCAGTTTTCCATATTGTTTGCACTCTTTTTCCATTATAAGATGCTATATTACCTAATTCACTTATATTATTAATACCTCTATTAACAGAAAATCGTCCTCGAATAGTACCATTAACCTATCAAATGGAAAAATAAAGTATTAATTATACATCTATTTATTTTGAATGGATAACATTGAAATATATATATAAATTGTAACGAATTTCGTATTTCTTTTCGTTATTAATTATATTTATTATAACAATTGGAAAATATTTAATATTTATCATTGAGGAAATTTCATTTCATGAAATTTTTTAAGAAACGTATTAATTTTATGAAAGATAGAAATACGATTTTACTCTTTGAAAAATACTAAGATAATAAACGCCGTCCTTTTCGCCTTCTTTTAAGACAGGTGATCGAAGTGCCTTCAGTGTTTTGCATATCGTACTCAATTCAGGGAATTTTTTTTCATTACACGTAAGTTTAACTCCGTCAAAAAGTATTTCCTTAGGATTAGCTTTTAAAAAAATACTGTTTCGATTTGGAAATAATTTCGGTATATTATTACCAAATTTATCCATATAATTTGGAGGTAAAGTGGTTAACTAGAAAAAAAATAATAATTAAAATTGTACATTTTGTTTAAAAATTAGTATTTAAAAAAGAAAAAATTAAAAAAATAAAGAGATGTTTTAAATACTAAAAGAAAAGATTTTTACACAGTTCTTAACTTATCCAATTGTACTTGCCATCGATATAGTTCCAATGTATGCAGGATTTAATATAGTAACTGTATCACGTTTAGATATATTCACACTTGCATATTTGTCAAAAGTGAATGTTGATTTTACATCATAGATAATTTCATCAAATTCTTCATCCACATCCACTATTTGTTTTTCGAATATTTCTCTAAATGTATAAAATATATTCATAAACATATATTTTAAAAAATTTATTAATTTATAAATTTGGTTAATAACAAGAGATGTATTTAAAAAATGATAAAAAAAATATCATTCAAAAATATCATTTTCTTGTTTACCTGTAAGTAAATGGACCATATTCAACCAGATTTGGATTAACTCCTTGCATCACTTCATCAGGATTCGTAACATTAAAGAAATAACATTTAAAGATTAAAGATACAGGTAATATCCACGCATTGTACATGTCTTTACCTTTAACGAGTGGTAAATTCTAAAAATCATTATTCTATATGAATTAATTAATTAGAAATTTTATAGGAATTTATAGAAATTACAAATTGTTTTGTAATTTTATTATGCTAAGTATATTTTAGAATGTCTATATGTTATAAATTTAAATATATTTATTTATAATTATAACAATAGATACATTTTATTTAATTTTCTAAACATAAGTAAAAAAATAGATGTATATTTGTCTAATGAAAAGATAATAAAAGATTCCGAAATAGGAATATATTGTTTTGAAATTATGAATATTTGTTTTATTATAACAAAAAATAATTATTACTATTTATCATTGTATATTTTAATAAAATTTTTAATATTATAAAATTGCTTCAGTTTTCAATGTGTTACAGGAAAATAATTCTATTTATATAATGCAATTCGATAATTTTGTAATATCTTCTTTATTAATGAATGATTACTATTATTTTATTTGAATTTATATTCTGATTACACATATTTATATTTGTTTTTATTTATTTGAATAATATTATTAGTTTTCCTATAATAATAAAAGATATAATATTCGTAATTATTAATTATGTATTTAAATATATGTTTTTTCATTTTTGTTTTGTACTGAAACTCAATAATTTTATTGATTCTAATTTTATTCATACATTCGAGCATATAAATTTGTTACGATTATACACATTATTTATACATTACATAAAATCTCTGAAATCAGTATTTATATCATTGCCATATCATTTTTTATTTGCGATCAATATTTTACCTCTAAAAAATTTTCATATTATTTTTATAATTATATATAAATATATTTTAATATATGATTAATTATATGAATTAATTATATGAATATAATTATAATAAATATATAATTAATTATATGAATTAATTTGAATAATAATATTAATGATATAAAAATCGAAATTTTTATATTAAAATTTTCATATTAAAATGTAATTTTATTCAATAAAATATTGAATAATTATTAATTATTATTAATTATCATTATTTAATTTACACAATACAATAAAATAGTTGATATTAATTTGAATATTAATATAATCACAAATTCCTCTATTTAATCAAAGTAAAATTGATAGACAATAAAAGTAATATTGATAAATTAATTTTTAAAATAAAGATTAAAATTCAATAATATTAATATTATAAATATATTATAAATATAATACATTTAAATCGAATCAATTAATTAATTAATTTACCTTAAGTATAGTATTTTTAATGCTGAATAATCCCTCTGAGAACATATTTGTTATAAACGCGTATATACCAAAAATAAGACAAATAATTGCACATATTTGATAGGACCACATTGTTTATTCTATTTTTTTCTTTATAATATATAATATATTAAGTTTAATTAAAATAAATTGTGACTATTACTACAACTTACTTAAATTTTACTTTCTTGCATGAACTCATTCAATAAAATGTTATACAGGAATGTTTATTGCGATAACTTCTTACTGACTCTGACTTTTATTATAAATAAATAATGAGCAATGCAATTATGTACTTGTTACATGTTGATTATCTTTATGTCATAAATCTCTAAAATCAATATTCTTGGGTTATTATAATAATTTTTTATCATTATTATATTATATTATTTTTATAATTATTTTAAATAATAATTTGAATAAAAATACTTACCAAAATAGTTTAATTATTCATTTTGCATATTAATGAACAATGACAAATTTTATTTTGGAAACTTTAATTTAAAAAAAAAAAAGAATTAAAATAATAATTTTAAAAAATAAATGTTTCTAACTGTTTTACCATCATGTACAACCCTTTATTAGTATTTCCTCCACCCACCAGATGGTTTAATGTCGAACAATGTGGAGTCAGGCATCCTGCACGCTGGACAACAGTGAAACGGAGAGAAAGAAATGGTGGCGTTATCTTAATTTTGTTAAAAATTTGTAGTTTTTCAACGTTTAGGAATATTTGAACGATTTTTATTCGTTTGTACATTAACGAATCGTAGTTTCTGTGTCACATTTACAATAATCTTCGCTGGGTCGAAGAAGTGTGGAAATAAATCTCACAGATAGCATAACCTAACAATTTTGTGTTCAATCGTGAATCGTAAGAATGGCAATGAACGAAGATTTCAATTTTGCTGAATTGTGCAGATTATGTTCGCTGAAGAGTAATCATCAACTTCAAATTTTCGATAAAGAAGGCGAACAAAGACAATTGCTATTTAAAATACGTTCCTGCATTCCTGCTGTGGTAAGTCGTTTATCTCGTTGCATTTGAAGAATTTTACGATATTTACAATCATTTGTTATTAAATTTATCATTTCTCTATTTTATAAATCTACAAGCTTTTTTAAAAATGTACATGTAAGAAATATTAAAAATAAATTATTAAAGATAATTTAAGAAAAACTTCTACGACACGTTTTAATTGCTTCGAGTGAAAGTTTATATTGTATTCAAAAATTGGAGTAGAAAGTAAAAATGTGTAAAGTGAAAATGTAAGTCATTTTTTAATTTTATAATTCTATTTGTATAAAAAATAATATTTCGAAAACTTGGAACAATTTTCTATGAGAAAAAAATTTTAACACAATGAATCAAAAAAATCTATTTCCAATTATGATATATTTAACGATTTTTAAATAAATTTTATATTTATTTTATTACATAATTATATTATTCCTATACTTCAAATTACATATATTTTTTATAATAAAATGTTTACATCTATTACAGATAACGAAAGAGGATGCTTTGCCCAAAAATATTTGCCAGAGATGCGTGTACAAACTGGATATGTTTTACGAGTTTCGAGTGAGCTGTATGACGACGGACACAGTGTTAAAAAATTATGCGGATAGTTTGAAACATCTCGCTGCATCGGTAAGCCAGGTAAGTCTAAATATTTTATTATCTAATTTAAAACAAAAAAGGAAAAAAAAAATTAAAAAACTTTACTTTAATAGTTTCATAAATATTTAATAATTATAATATTGGAATATAATATTTAATTATATTTACTTTGATCTTGGTATCCTTGATACGAGATATAATTTCTATATATTTCTCTATTGACGTGAATGAAAACGTTATGTTTAAAAGCACGAAGACTGGTTAAAAGTATATTTATAACGTTATCGCTAAATATAGCAACAAACGAGCTACTCGTTGGAATACTTGTTTACGGTGCACCGGTTTATTTTCTCTTAATTGATTTCACGAGACACATCAGACGCGTTTAAGATCTTTGCGAGCACGTGGTTTACGACTGGGAGCAAGTGCCTTACAAATGGAGGAGACAGCGCGCTTAATAAAGGTAGATTAAAGGTCTGACATAAAGCTCGCGGTATCTTGCAGTGGCAACAAGAGAGAGAGAAAGATAGATATATAAAGAAAGAGGGACCGAGTATTTTTTCCAGGATGGCATAGGAAAATTTATAGTCGTGCAAGCCGGACACGAATAACCAAGAGGAATCAGGCTATATCCCCGTAAGTCGGGGATCGCACGTATTCTAGGAAGTACCGGGGACTCTTTACAAGCTCGTAAACTCGCGCGGCAATTTCCGACATGACGCGTTAAAGTGACTTTATGCGTCGAATGCGTGGCCAACACGAGTTCCACATTTCGAGCGGTGTAAAAAGCCCTTTACGCGACACGCGCTCGCGTTCTGTACCATCTCTCTGTACGTTGTCTCTGTCCGTTCCACCTTCTTCGTGCCGATTTTGTCTGTATTGCTCGATAAGCGGGCAAATGTGCGCGCG